AACGTTGTTTAACAACACACAAGCAAATAAAACTACACTCAACGTTATTTTTTTAAACAATAAAGAAACGCCTCTTTGGCTTTCAGGTGAGGTTAAATTTATAGTGAAATAAATTCTAAACATCCAACCCACACACACAAGCTCATCCTCACACCAGCTTCCCTGCCAACAGATAATGTTTAAACAATGTGGCGAGTTCCTCAAACTTGGGCAAAATTTTGAAACTTGACAAAACCACCTCTCCATTACATCGACTTTTTTAAATCTTAAAAAGACAATTTTATGCTTATTGGGTTTGCCCATGTATGAGAGACAAGTTGCAGCAGCATTGTTCTCTGAACATTATGTGCACTACAGGGGTCAATGAGTTACAGCATATTGTTAAAATGACACCATTAATTTCACACTAAGAAAAAACAAACAAAAAAACAAACATTTTTGGGTTAATTAAGCAGAAAAACAAAGATTAAAATACACTCACTGAAAGGAGAGAACAGCGTACACAGTAGAGATTAATTCAACACTGAAAGCATGCCATGCACATATTGGTGTTAAAAACAAAACTACAAAACTGCAGAAAAAAACCCTCTCAATTATACAGTTCTGGTCAGAAATGTACATACACTCATATCTATTCTGAGCTTTTAGTGGTTTCCATAATCCATCCATCCGTCCGTCCGTCCGTCCGTCCGTCCGTCCGTCCGTCCGTCCGTCCGTCCGTCCGTCCGTCCGTCCATCCATCCATCCATCCATCCATCCATCCATCTGATATAACAACCATTCTTTATGAATCCACTCCAGACAGGTACAAATTATAAAGACTGGCTCAAATAATTTCATGTTAATCTAAGCCTGCTTTTTGCATTTCAGAACCAGTTATGATGCTAGGCATCTGTTAGACCACCGGCATGTATTTGTTTAAGAACAAACACAGCTAGGTGTTGTAGTGGTATTTTACAAAAAACAGTAAAAACATAGGCCCAGGGACAATATTAATCAGGACACCAGTGTCATGTTTCAAATTAATTGAGATGCTACCAACACAGAGGGCAACATCTCCCTTCATGCTTAATCAACCTGTGCACTCTGACTTGAAGACCTTAAGGATAAAATGCAGATAAAGCAATAGGACCAGAATCTTTCTGTCATGATCTGGCCATCTCTCCCTTAATTAGTAATTCCTCTCACCTGCCCTCTTCCTTCCCTGCCTCAATCATAATGTATTCCTCTCACCTGTTTCCTGTGGTTTATATTCAGTTCAGCCTGAGCATTCAGTGCCAGATCATTGCTTGTCTTTCTGTCAGTCTTTCTGTTCAGTTTTTATTTGGTTCATGTCCTGGATCCTAGCTGCCAGTGGAAAGAGGGTTTTTGTGTTTGTCTCGTCTCCTGATCGTCCACTGTTCCTCCCCGTGGAGTCCTCTGGGTTTTTGGCTCATTATGGGGGGAGGTTCAGTTTTTATCAAAGTAAGCCTGGCTCCAGGATGGAGACCAGTTTAAAGTCCAGCTTCAACTTCCGGTTCCTACGTCCTGTCTCGGCTACCCTCTTCCACTGTGCCTGCCTGTCTACACCTGATCCTGTCTGCTCCTGTGCGTGACCACCTGGTCATGCTTCTGGTCCCAGCCAGACTATGAACCCTCCTGGAAGCCTGTGGATGCCTGGAAGTCTGGATCCTGCCACCTGTCTCTGTTCCTGCCTGATCTGGATCCTGCCTGTTTCTGTCTGTTCCTGTCTGTTCTGGATCCCTCACCAGGATCAGCTTCCAGCATGACCTCTGGGACTGCAGCACTGGGGACACTCGTGGTCTGGACTGTTAAACCAGGTAAGTGACCAACCCCGATAATCATATATCAGTTTATCGTGGTCACTTACCTGTGTTTCCTCCCCTAGAGTGTCTGAGATTGGGCGGTGCCCCGCCCCCCGCCTGCAGTGTCCGCGAGCCACAGCTCCGCTTTTGTTTTGTTTTTATTTTAATAAACCTTTTGAACTTTCCTACTGACTGTCTCTCCTGAATACTGGGTCCATCTGTCCCATATTCATGACACTTTCAGACCTAATGACCAACTCTCAGATGGTGTCATGCTGAAGTTCTGGTCTGCTGCCTGTGGTACTGGTACTAACACAAACCAGAATTATCTTTAAACTCTTTATGTTAGTCCAAGAGCCACTCCTAGACAGCTGGAAGTTGGATACAACTGCATCGCCACATAAAAACTGGTTCTGGAGAAAGCAGGCTGACCGGAACAATTGCTCTGACATATTGCCAGATAATATCTGATCAAAAATGGTTACTGAACTTTCTTTAAAGTCTATGTTAATATTAGAACTAAATATGCATTTGAACCAGTATGTATATTTTTAAGCCTGAATGAATTACAGAAAAAAAAAAAAAAACTTACCTATGGCAAACCATTTAGGAAAGAGTTAAAAAGATATATTAGGTCTAATTAATATAAGCCCAGTATTACTGATGAGTGCATGTAAAGTTTTGGCCAGAGCAATCTTTCAGTACACAGACCAAAATTATTTAAGGTAAATTAGGTAAGAATTCATCTGCTCTTCACTTGTGTAATCTTGCAACTATCAACCCCCCTTGATTGTATCTTAAGTTCATCAGCTAATGGCTGAGGCCCAAGTCTGAAACGAAACGCTCATTCACGCGTTCAAACTTCCACTGAAGTACAATAATAGCAAAGCATGCAGCATGCACGTGCACAAACAGTAGTACACACACTGAGCTGTGGATTTAAAGAGGAGGAGAGGGTCCCCACTCAACTGAGTGAGGGAGGAGCGCAGGGGAAACAAGATGACAAGAGAAGAGGAGGCCCAGAGGTCAACATGAGGTTCTTATGAGGTCAGAGGTCGGACAGGAAGAGCTGTGAGGAGGAAGAGTAGGAGAAGGGAGGAGGAGAAAAAGGGGGAGGAGCAGTGCGGCTGGGCAGCTGGTATGTTGTGTTACAGGTTCAGAGAAAAAGAAAGGTTGACAGCATCCAGAGAAAAAGAGATCATTCCAATATAATCTGCAGTAGGATGAGTGGAATGTTGTCTTTTTCTCAGGTAAGAAGAAAGAGAGAGAAAGAGGGAAAGACAGGAACAACGAATGAAGGCCCAGAGCACATTTTCAGTTTGTTCTAGAGCCAGTTGTGACCCTTGTATCCATCCCAGACATACACACAGCAGTATGTGTGCACACAGACATATTCATGTGCACACATACACAGGCAATCCTGTGTAACCCAAACACCCAAAGGAAATGTAAGGAATTACTGACACAGTGCATTGAAAAGTATCCATGCCCTCTGAACTTTTTAACTTTTTTTTTATTGCAGTCATAACACCTCAGTATAAACTGATGAGATTTAGTGTGACAGACCAACAGAAAGAAGTGCATGAATGTGAAGAGGGGTAAAATTCAAAAACTTTTAAAGATCAAATAACATAAAATGTCTTGAACAAATTTGTATTTCTCAAACAGCGAGCTATACACATGGAGGAAGAAAACTTTTATCAAAATAGTTTTGTCATCTCTGTTAGCGTCTGCATAGAAAATTTCAAATCCTGTCAGAAACCAATGGAATACTTGAAAATAAATAAACTGATTAAAACTCAAACCTTGCAAAACCCACCAGGCCAGCGAAACGGTTGGTTCTGAGAGGATATAGGTGATTGTAGAGACAATAGCTGCCATGTCAGAGGATTTTCTCACCTGAGTGGATCTTTGCAGCACTTGAATAGTTAAGCCTTTGATATTGTTTTAAAACCTACAGTATACCTGCTTGTTGCTCAATAATTTTTTAACAAGCTCTAACAAATATTTTATCTGTGCATGAATTACACACAGATGGAATTTTATTACAGATTAAATCATTTTTCAAGACAGTTGGTAGCAATGGACTATCTTAATCCAGGGTCACCAGACCAATGTATACCAAAAAATATGCAATATTTCTTAAACTTCATCATTTTGCAGTACTTTGTGTTGGTCTATTGCATAAAATCCCAAATATAACATTATAAAATATGGGGGAAAAAAGTTCAAGAGATAGGGATTCTCTCACAAGACACTTCTTGTGACAGGTTTTAACTTTTATGAGCACATAGCATTGAAATCCAAAATATAAAAGGGAGCGCTCATGGTTTTCTTAGATGAGTAGAAACATTTTAAGTCATATTTTAATCATGAGGCGTGACAAAGTGTTACTTAAAAAAAAAGATGACTTGTGTCCCAGTGAGAAATGCTCAGAGGCGGTGTTAGTGCATGCTGATAAAAGCCAGTTTCATGGTGGGAGAACAACACCATTCCTCAGACCTCCAAAACATTGTCTGAGACTCATCATCATCATCATTATCAAGAGCAGCAAACCACCATGCAGCCCTAGATTTTGATCAACTTACCCCTTCTGAAAAACGGGGGTCTAATAACTCGCGGCTTGTGAACTAGGCGTGATGGCCTTGTGTCCGTCATCTCTTGTGGGGCAACAGAAACAAGGCACAATGGCTGTTACCCACACTCTAAGGAAGCAGGCAGGGGTTTTAGCAAATAGGGAGATAGCAAGGAATTTTCTTTTGCTTGTTAGTTTATTAACATAAGCAAACAAATTGATGTTTTATTATATTATCATTATAATTTCTGCTAATTGCCTGTTTCCTTAGAGTTACACATTTTTAATTCCCCACTTTAAAGTCTTAAAGTTTTTTTTTTTTTTTTTTTTTTTTTTTACATTGAAATATGGTCAAAATTCTCATTTTAGGCTATTACAAATAAATATATACAGCAGAACATAAACAGTAAAAAAGAATTGCGACTTCATACTGAAATACTCAAATCTTCATGTAAGTGTAATTTAGTGATTATTACACTATGGTTAAGGAAATCCTGAGTAAATATACATTTACACAATAAGATGAGACTTTTGCTGTTCTAATAATAAAGGGAAAGTGCTTTGCTAATAAATGTATATATTTACATACAATGTACATATACTGTTTTTGTCTCTCTTACCATTAAGGACACTGGGGGACAGCAATGTTGAGTCTCTGTCAGCCAGACGACAGGCACCCTCTTCTGACATCCCAGGCCCCTGCTGTGGGGGCTGACCCTCTAGAGAAGATACGATGTCTGCACGGTCAATGTTCTTAAGAGCTGTGTACAGACTCTCCACTGAGCAGCACAGGGAAAGGAAAAAGAGAGAAACAAGGGCAGCATGAAAGAAAGGTGCAAAGTTAAATTATGTCTTTCACAGAAGACAATTCAGACATTCCCAGATCCAGGCAAAGTAGAAAATAGTTTTCAATCTACCGTAGTTGAACATATTCTGCTAAACTACTTAGTTTTGCACATTACAGCTCCACAGATGATTTCTATTCATTCTTAAAAGTCATTATTTATTATTTCCTTTCAATAGTAGTTAAGTGGAATATTTTTGGGCATCTTAGTGTGAAAATCTATTTTTGTAGCTATTTTATGTGACCCTACCATTGTTTTACTGTACTTTGGTAAACTGATTCCGGGGTAATTATTCTGGCCTGTTATTGTTTATGATGTGCCACAAAAAAAATGACTTGATTCAACTTTGATAAATACTCTACACTTGGAAATATTAAAACAAGAGAGTACATGTAGATTATGTCTCAAGAATCAAAAAACAGATTATGCAATATATTTCACCTTGTATCTTCCTGTTAAATATAAAGTGTTGCTTCTCTAAACAAAGCTTGTGTCAATGTCCCTTTTATACAAGTGCTTCTCTTTATATAGATACATTTATTTTGTTATTTTGCCTCCTATGTTTGTCTCTATGTCACAGTCTTGATTTTGTTATGTTTTCTTTTGAGTATTCAGTTTTACTTTGTTCCACGTTTTCTAGTTTTAGTGTTTTAATTCTTATTTTGCTGTGTTTTCTGGTTATTTTCAGTTTACAGGTTTTTATTTGTTGCCCTCTGCTGCCCTCTTGTGTTCTCCTTTTTCCCTAGCTCCTTTCCTGTTTCTGCTCTGTTCACACCTGCTCCCAATCTGCTCGTTAGCCTTCTCTTTGTTTCAGTCTCCCATAAATACTCTCTCTGTGCATTTATTCAGTGCTGGTTCCTCGTCAAACTTCCTCCAATTCTGTCTTATTGAGTCTTTCTCCTCGTGATTGTTTCCCCCAGATGTCTCCATGGTTTTGGTTTGTTTGACTCTGTTTTCTTGTTTGATTTTTGGATTGCTGCCTCAGTTGTTTGTTTACCTACTATTAAATCATTGAGAAACTCACCACTGCCTCCCGAAGTTTTAAACACTGTATTAAATCCTCAACAGATGGGCTCTATGATTTCAGACAGTTGCTACACATAGGAAGAATTTGGAGATGCGGCACAAACACTCACTTTTGGCCTTTTTACCCTCTCTGCTGACCCACAGGTTGAGGAGGGCAGAGCTCTGGTCAAACAGTGAGTTTGGATTTTCTGCACGGATCCTGTTGATGTCATCAACACTGAACTGAAGCTCTCGTGCCAACTCTTAAATGAGGAGAAACAAGAATATTAAAACAGAAAAAGGAGATCAAATAAGCTAGATATTTGCACCTGTAAATAAAAATATTACGATACAAAAAAAATCATGCTCTGTTAACTTTAAAGTCACTCAAGATGACCTGAAAAATAACAATAAGGGAACTCTCCATGAGTGAAGACAAACCTGAAGTGGCATTTTTTTAGTGTCCACCATATTAATTCATGCCTGTATATAACTGAAGGAACTAACCTGCCCAGCTTAAACCCAGCTGATCAGAAATAATATGGATTTTGATTTCCGTCCTCTCCATGGCGTTGACAGTAGCTAAAGAGAAAATTAGAGCAGTTTAGAAGCCCTTAAAAACATGCAATGAAAACAATAATTTAAATATACTTAATTCCAGGTTCTCATATCTGGGATTTAATATTATAATTGGAATCAGACAAAGGAGACCAGCATTTTAATATCCGACATTGGTTTCTAGTGAAGTCATTTTTTAAAATCCCCTACCCAATGTGAATGGCTTTCAAATCTCTATTGTGCATATCTAAAACCTTTTTGTTTATCTTTTTCTCTTAACAATCTAAATGCTTTTCATCGTTTACAGTTCTGTCCATAGTGAATTAACAGGGAAACTGTATTGGCTGCTGCAGCTCCAAGACTGTTCAGTATAACCTGCTCTAGTAACGGCCCAGCAGTAGAGTAAGTAATATGGTTTTAATCAGGCTGGAAGCAGAGCACTGAGTTCATTAAGCATGAAAAAAACTTTCGTTAAATTTTGTTTTAAGCTTGATCAATATGAGTAACTGGAAGAATACTAAACTATGACCTTAATTATTCATATCAAAACAGAGGCTAAACACCTTATATATTATACAGTAAAATACAAACATTAGTGAGCAGATGAGTTAAAAACTGGTATTAGTGTGTCAGTCCCTAAAAGCATGGAAAGTGATTCTAATAAAATCCTTGCTTTATGTAATAGTCCTGTATATAATTCAGCAATTATAAATGGGACAAAGTGCTTCCAGCAAGTATTTAAAGTGCTGCTCTTTTTCCTTACATGGGTATATTACTGTCATTATCCAAATGTTATTAGATTAATTTCTTTAATTTAAATTCTAGACACGATAACCCATTATGACAATATTCTTTTTTGTTTGTTGCAAAAGTATTACAGACATATTACTTTTGCATACATATTCATAGCCTATACTTTGTTGATCCATCTGTGGGACTGTTAGGACACAGAGTGAACAGAATGTACAGTAGCATTCAGAATGTGATTGGACAGTAGGGGAGGTGCTACGCTATCAAACTACTAAAGTTGAACAAGTATTTCTCCCACTCCTCGTCTTGTTTTATGCAGGAGTGGGTCACAGAGGTTTCAGTAGAGAGTCCCAGCCTTCCCTCTCTGCAGACACCTTCTGCAGCTCTGCTGGGGGATGCCGGAATGCGCTCCTAGTCCAGCTGAGGGACATAGTTCCGAGTGTGTCTTGGGCTTTGTCCTTGTTGGATGTGAATGGAACACCATGGGGCATTGGGAAAAGATGTCCGAGCCACCTCAGATGACTCCCCTAGATGTGAAGGAGAGGCGGCTCTACTCTGAACTCCCAGATGACTGAGCTCCTCACCCTTTCTCTAAGGGAGAGCCCAGCCACTCTGTGGAGAGAACTCATTTCAGCTTCCTGTTTTTGTATCCATGCATCTCTGATGAAAAGTATTGTATTGATTCTTGTCAAAATTCTAAAGAAAGCATTTTAATTGTGGTTCATTGTCAAGAAATGCCCCTCTTCTTATAACTCTGATATACTCGGGCCTTTCTAGAAAATTTGAATATATTGTAGCTATATAAGAACTGATAACAGCAGTAAACCATGTAAACCCTAAAAGGGAAATATTTTGAGAAGATTTTATGATGGTACCTACCTTTTTGCTCTGCTGACGTAAATACGATTGCTCACAACACTGTTATTATCCATGTTATCATCAATGTTAGAACACAATGTGGGCACACCATGTCAGACTTTGGGGTTCATTGAAATGTTAGTTCCAATAATAGTAGCATTCCGTAAACATTACAGAGAGACCAAGGTGCAATATAGCAGCGCTGTGTATTTGATAGACAGAAGAGACCTTTTATCTTTCCTCAGGAAATAACATAAGTTTTTACCAACTTTAGTGATTAAATAAAAACCAGTGCAGAGGGCTCCTCTGTCTAGCTCCACTGGGAGGTCCTGCTCATTCTCAGAGCTAATAAAGCTAATATATCTGCTGCCATGCCATCGGATGTCACAGTGGAGACACCAGCGCCATGCCTAACCAATCACAGAAGTCATTGTTTTAACCTCCAAGGCACTTAGGAAAGAAAAAAAAGAACTTTCCAGGTGCCATGGAGCTATTTCAGGCCACGTTCCAGACTGTTGCTTGTCTCTCAGCCACACATTCAGTGTGCTTTCCTGTAACTGCACTGCCACAAACTCTGGGGCACACTGTACAGCAGTGCATTGCATCCAAGGCTTAGTCTTTGTGCCATGCGTGCACATGAGAAAAATAAGGGCAGAGAGGGGAACATTGGGGCAGATAAGGGAAGCAGGGGTCTGGGCAAAGGGGGCAGAGCAACATTCTATGCCCATCTCCTGTGTGTATCTATGAGGAGAGGGCTAAAGTACAGGTAATGACTTAAGGTAAGACTTACCCACACCAGGCTCATTTAGTGCACTGTAGCGCTCTCTTAGGGCCAAAGGAGTTAAAGTTCGTCTTCGTTCTTCGCTACCAGCAACCTAAGACAGGAATTAATTAAAGGAACTTATAAAAATAGATTTTTATGCTAGACAATTATTGGCTGGATGACTTAAACGATAACACAACTCATCTGTTTCTATAAGTAAAGATTTAAATTCTATTTATTTTCAAAGTTAAGGAGAGGAATTTTGAACTTAAGACTGAGTGGCAAAACTGTATTTTATTTTGCCTAAAATTATTTATGTCTCTGAAAAAGCCAAGAAATATTTCTTTTCTGTTAACAACTTCTTTATATTGAATGCTTTTATAAATTCAGCCTTTAACTCAAGGACTTTACTTGGGCTTTTGGAAAGAAACAAGTCCACATCATCACAAATGCTTCAGCTCACTGCACATACGTCACCAGATGCTTTTCTACAATTTTAACTTTTGTTCTGCACCAGATCCAGAGTTACTGTTGAAAAATACAGTTTTTGTTTCATCGGACCAAAATAAACAGGACCAGTTAAAGTTTTAGCAGCTATTCAGAAAAGTCCATGGATGTATGTTTTTAATTATGGAAAAAATAATGCATCAGATGGTATCTACAAGGAGACTGATTAGGGCCATGCCACCAAATGGAGATTAAATGCATCTGAGATTTTATTAAAAACAACTGACTTAATTTTGATCATCTTCTAACTCACCAAGTGCCCAAAAATTGAAGATTAAGCCTAAATTGTAAATAGAATATAGGTGGGCAGCATCATAGATATCCATAATAAAGGCCTTTATTATGGATATCTATGGGCAGCATCAGGTCAGACCTGTAATCAAGGCTCCTTTTGTTTTTATAAAAAACACTGATATCTACGGTATATAAAGAAATGCACTACATAAAGTGACGGATAACATTTTAACCTAAGACAAATAGAATTTCAAGTGTTTCAAAGACTTTCATGTTTTCATGCATGTTGCAGAATTCATTATGGCAAGCTCTTACCTTGACACAAGGTGGCATAGTTATATTAAGGTTGCAGAGGACATGTTGCGAGTCCTCATACTTGGTGCATTTCCTCAGAAAAGACAGAAACCCAGTGGCTTCCTTGTTGCTATCCCTGACCTAGTATAGACAGAGCATAGAATGTGGAATAAAAGGAGAAGGAAAATAGAGAGAAGTAGATAAAGAAAATAGCAGAAAATAAAAGAGTAAAAGAAAGATAGCATCAGATGATGCAAATTAGAAAGTGTTAGAGTGGAGAAGAGAAAAGGAAAGAGCAGCAAGGGGAGAAGACAGACAAATCAGAAAGGGAAATTAGATCTTTCCACAGTGCCTTGAGGTTGGCGCGCAGTAACAAGAAGCAGGGGGGAAACAGGGATGGAAGCAGTCCACAGGCAGGCAAGAGAGAGAGATTTACCTGCACATTTTACCTGGGCGTCTGTCAGATCAGACAGTTACAGAGTGACCATGAGAGAAAGAGAGAGAGACAGTGAGACAGACACGTACAGAGAGGCAGGGCCGCAAAGATTGGAAGGCAGGCAAAGAAAGTGAGGGAGACACAGGACATGCAAACAATTACCCCAGAGAGTCAAGGGATAGATAGGTAAGTTGTTTGTTGCATGGTTACAAGAATTCAGGTAGGTGATAACAGACAGTACAATAAGTCACACCAACAGACATGGATGAGGGGGAAACTGACTTTACTTGGGGGGGAGGAGATAAATACTGTTCAACAAAATGAAAATACATCAATATGATCACACATTAGACAAGGCAAGATGGTTATTGATTTCAGATTTGCTTCCGAGGATTGGCTTAATATCATTTTGGAGCGCTATTTGAGGTGTGGGCTAGGCTATTTGAATACAACTTGTTGTTGAACCTTACCAGCATGAATTAAAAAGGAAGTAGGAAATATAAAGGTAAAAAGCTTATTAAAAGGAATTTAAAGTAAAGTTAAGGTAAGGAAAAGTAATACCTATTCAAATATTTGCTATGGTAACAATAATTACTTTTTTGCTCTAGATTATAGGGATCAAAATGGACCCAAAGCATGATTCTATCTTCACATTGCTTTTATGACAGCACACAGTTTTTGTTGTTGAGGAGGTGTCACTTTCCACAAAAAAACCCCAAAACCTAAAAGACCTTTTGGTTAAAATTAAGAACAAGTTCTCTACATATTTGATTTAGATTCTCTCTATTTTCAACATAAAACCATGAAAAGTATTAGTAGTTTGTTGTTTTCATTTAAAGCCTAAAATAAAATAAAAATAAAAAAAAGAACAGCAGTATTTTTGTTTTTCATTTATAGAAATAAAAAGAGATAAACAGTAAGTTGATTTCTATTTTGCAATAAAAATGAAAATTTTAAGAAAAAAAAGGATTGTGCGCTCATCTTTATTTAATGTGAATTATTTTTTTCTTTGACAAATGGCCAGACTCAGAAGCTCTTGTTGCACTTCATATTTTGCGTAGAGAATCCTTGATAACATTTGTATGTTATTCTTCTCTTAACCCCTTTTTTTCCTTCTATAAAACTTTTCTGACAGTTTTGCTCTGATCAATTTATAACTTTTAAATGTAGTCAGGTTGTTTGAAAATTGTCTAGACAAATTTGACACAAACTTAAAGGCATGAAAGAGGATTCTGTGGTGGAAGATATGTCCAAATGCTGTTTGTGTATTTTTGAATTGAGCGCATGCCTCAGCCTCCCCTCCTTAGCAAAACTTCTCTATTCTGGAAACGCCTCAGCTGGTAATTTTGTATTTACCCTAGAGAGGCAACAGAGTGCCAGGATTCACCTAGTCAACTGGAAATCTCTGTAAGAAGAAGAGGTCTCTGCCGGTTTTATCACTGCAAGTTATATTTACAATTTGTTGATGTGCTCTTGCTGCGTCTTTTTCAGATTAGTTTTGCCAGGATTCTTTTCGGCCATTGATGCTCCAGTTTACACAAAAGAGTAAACAAATAGCTGAATAAAAGCAGCAGCAGCAAACAATCGTAGGAGTACTTCTTCGTGCTTTGGCGTAATGGCGGCCACTAGCCAAACAGCGAATGAGTTACGCTTGCAGCCTAAGTAAATAACATTATTATGGGACATACACAAAATCTTTGATTGACAAACAAGTAGCAATCCATTTTTGAATGTAAGCAAAGTAGATTGACTAATGTTTTGTTGGCCTCACCACAGCCAGAGTTGATGTATTTACATTTATTTTTGGGGGGGGACCATAAGTGCAAGAATGCAAGCCATCAATTAGGTCATTTGAAATTTATCTGGACACTATTTCTAAGAAAAACACTTAATTTGTTAATTCACAATTAAGACAAACTACGTGATTAAACAGCACATTTTCTTCCACTATTAACACAATGGAGATATTTAAAAAAATTAACTTTTAATGCCAATATAATTATTCAAGTACCGGTAAGTTAAATATTTTTTGTGTTGTTTAAACTCTTTCCCTTCTATACATACTTATTTTATATTTATATTTTTCAAAGCCTTAATATGATTCACTATTAGCTTCTTAAATAAGTATAAGTTTATCAGAAAGGATAGAGGATCCGCTGTGTTAAAAAAAAAAAAAAACAGCAAAACAGAATTAAACAGAACACAAAAACCCCAAATGGAATGAATGAGATAGAAAATGAGGCATGTCAACAGTAAGATAGAGACAGACCTTGACAGACACAGGCAGTCTGTTATCTCTGAAGGCCTGGAAGCTGAAGCTACGAGGTTGCTGTGTGGCCTTCCGAATGGGCACCAAATTTCCAGAACACTCCAGGTGCAGCGGCATGCCCTCCATAAGCTGTAAAAATCAATAATAAACAAATAGGCGATGATAAACCACCTTCACATCTTTACACTAATTAAAAAAAGATAGATCTCTAACATCTAAAAATGACAATTGTTTTCCAACTTCTCACTGTCTTATTGTGATCACAGTTTTAAATATCCTTTGTGCTTACTTCTATATCTCGACTGCGGGCCACTTCTGTGAAGTTTTCATGCAGTTCTAGAGTCTTGTCCATCTTATCATCCGTCATGCAGTAGCAACGCAATCTGCCTTCCCGTGCTTCATTCATCTTTGCAAAAATAACAAATTTCGCCATATACGGGACTGCCATTAGCTCCTTATACAGCAGGTTGGCAAAAGTAACTGCCTCTGCTGTGCGCGGACAATCTGCCAACCAAAATCTGGATAGGAAGAGGAAAGAAAAACATTCATTTGAAAAATATTTTCATATAAATAAGGGAAAGAGAGAAGAAGGGCGATTGAATTTGTTTTTTCAGGCAGTTCAGCCTGTGTTGTTTACCTTGCAGACACGTTGGTGGTAAAACTGGCACAGTTATTTGCATACATCAGCTTGGTGGTTCCAGTGATGTCCTCCCACTGAGCTGGAGCTGTTCCACCTTAGTCCCAAAAACAAAGAATGTGTTCAATGAGTAGATATACAGTCTCCTACACAACACTGAAAAACTGTTTTTTTATTCTCCTCTGACCTTTTTTCACATTTCATTGTATTAAAGACAAAATACAGTTATGGAAAAAAGAAGCAAACCACCCATCTTATATCCAATTTCTCACCTGAATAATACAGCATAATGTATAAATTTTGTGTATGGTTGCAATTTTATATTTTAAAATTTATTCCTAACCAAGAATCTCAAGCTCAGTTCTTTGTTGCCACTGACTGACGTTTGTTACACATTTAATAGGCTTTCTCCTTCCAGCTTATAATGAACTCTTACAGTAATGATAAACATCCTACATCATGATATTAGCTCCAGTATGCGCTTGATATAGTATGATACCAATTAAGCACTAAATTGGATGTGGAGTTAGTGATTTGGCTCTCACCATGGAGTGTTTGGGAGTACAAAGTGAACTTATTTGGCATATCCCAAAGGCTACAGCAAAGCACAAAACAGGTACAACAATTATGTGGAGAAAATAAAGAGAAAGAACCTGTTTGTATGAGAAAAAAAAATGTAACCTGGATAACGAGAAAGAAAGGTGAAAGAAGCGCCTACAGATGTGTGAATAACAGCTAAAAAGATAATCGAGAACCTATGTATTTCAAAACACATGATAATGATCCTTTTGACAGCAGTTAACCACATAGAAGTGCCTCCTGTGAAGAAAAAACAAACATTAAACAGCACCCTTAAACTTTTGAGTGTTGTAGGTTGTAATTTATTACCGGTATATTATTATTACTAGTTTTTTTAAAGACAGCCTTCGTGAAATCTATTTTCTACCCAATCTATTCCTTGTGAGGAGAATCTCTATAGCCACCATCTCTAAAATCAACCCTGTGCTCGACAGCACACCACAGAAAACCGTCTGGGAGAAACCAATAAATGTGATCATAGCTGGAATTATCCATCCATTTGCAAAAAAATAAAAAGATGAACTATTTTTAATTGTGATATGACATGGCTTCTGTTAGTGGTTACCTTAGGGTCAGCCTTTGCTTGATCCAGCATCTCAAAATTACCTCTTTAAACCTGATACAGTTTGCACCTATATTTCCGGCATGCTAATTATAGATGTAGAAATGCATGCAGATGCAGGTGTACCCGGTTAGAAGATCAGCTTTGCTCACGATACCAAGTTTGCATGCGGTTTTATACACTCAAACCTTTAGTAAATCATGTTCCATTTGTATCCTAGTGGGCATAAAGTTTTTTGCAGTATTAATATTACAGAAAATTATAAAAATAATAATAAAAAACATGGATTTATTCATATATCTTGCTAATTGCCTGATCCAGCAAGTTGCATAATTTTTTTTAAAGAATCACTGTAAATCATCTGGTAAGTTATTTTCCATTTTTTCGTAATTGGAATGAAGTTTTACGCTGCATTAATATTACAGAAAGATGTATTTTTAGTTATAACAATAACAGAAACTCTAACTATCATCGCATTAACAGTGGTTAAATGCAAATGTACCCAACATCTAAAAGATTTGTGATTGCAAGAAAGTATTAAGTCCATGTACTGTTTTTCTTCCATTTCATAGTTACATACTCTATTGTTTGTGTATCACATAAAATCCCACTAACAGGCAGTGATGGTTGTAATTGTAACGTCACTAAATGTTAAAGGCATTCAATGTGTATTCATAGTTTAAGACAACCAGTATACTTCTTGTGGAACAAAATTCTACTCCTTAAACTGTATCATTACTGTTTCTTTTTGAGACTTTTCTTACAGTACCTATGACACTGCAGAGGAGGCGCAAGCTGGTGGTGTCTCCTTCGCCAGCATCCCGTGGGCTTTCCTTCCAGGATGGGGGTAAAGATATGCGCAGTCCAATTGGACGGTGAAACTTGCGTCGCCGAGGTTCGATTGTAACCACTGGGCTGAAGGTTGCTTGGTTCCCAAGCTGTCTAGTTAGCAGTTCATCAGGGATTGGTTGTGCCTAAAGTTTATTCAGAGGTACAAAGGCTTTTTAAAAACACCTAGGAGAAAACTCTTTAAAGATAAGACTAATATGACTTCAGGATAAAACGAACAAAAACAGAAAAACAGAGCATCAAATCCCAAAGGACAAAAGTGTGGCACTAATGCAAAAAGAAAACAGAAAAAATAAGTGTGAAACAGCAAACTCACAGCCATACTCACGCATGCAACAAAGCCACATTTCACATGTGTGCATTAGCTCAGTCAGTGTGGCTCACAACTTAAATCAGGCAACTGAAGAGAGACGAACGGCTGGATAAAAGGAAAACATAAAAAGCAGTGTAAGGCAGAGCAAAATGCAGAATCATGCAGCCTATTTTACATTGACTGTTGACAAGGAAAAACATGTTGTTAGGGTGCACCGATGTATTCAAAACAAAAAACTGCAAAGGCTGATGTAAAATAAAAAAAGGTAAAATGAGTGGTGCCTTATGCCTACCAATGTCTCATATGCTTTTCAGTTCATCTCTATTTATTCTTTAGAACTAACCCTGGTTCTATGTTGCATCCTTTGGTCGTATTATCAATGATTGAGGTATGAACAGTATTTTAGGAGTTCAGTTATCAAAGCTTTATTATAGTGTGTTCAAACAAAGTAGGCCTATGGATTAGGGTACCATTTAATTAGTTAAGAATTAATCTTTCAAACTTAAAATGTACATGTGTCCAGAGCAATTTGATAGTAATCATTTGAAATATCAGTTTTCACATTACCTAAATAAGTGTTGCTAGAATTACAGGACTAATTCAGAGATGATGGCAAAGTTTTTATTTGTCTGTTCTCAGCATTCTTGATTATTCTCTCATATGTTTATCAGTCTTTTTTGAAACCCCTGTTTCCCTTGGTTCCTGCTGTGTTCTTTAATAACCCTACCTCAGACTCCCTGTTTTGCTAGATTATCCGTCCTTCTCCAGTCTTTCCTTATACGCTTCCCGGTTTTCATTGTTCATTACTGATTCCTCCTGGTACTCTTCTCACTCTCCATGTCTGTTATTCTAAACCAGGTTCTATATGTTTCCTGCTTTAAAGACTTTCCCATCCTCATTCTCAGTTCATATCTGAATTTTAAAACCATTATAAACTCATTAAACATGTCAGCACCTGCAGAGTAAAGCCTGTATCATGTTGTACCATTCACAAATACAGTATGTATACCCTCAAATAAAAAAATGCATATCTAAATCTAAACAAAAATGTTTTTACAGTATTATTATTTTGATCAATTCACCTGACATAGACTCAAAGTTCTTATTTGGAAGACTCTGAGGGGCTGATGGAATCAGTACAGTATATCAACTAAAACAAATGTAATGTCTCAAAGACATGAAACAGCCGGAACAATATTATTTTTTTTTTCATCAGATATTAATCTATTAATTTTATCAGTAGATCTGATATAAATTAGAAAGAGCCTCGTTTTGATGTATAATCTAGCATTAATATGGCAGCCCAAATGAAAAATAAGGTAACAACTGAGCTTTCATTTAGGATAATATCACAAATTCTTTTCTCGTAGCATGTATAAAAAGTTTTTTGCTGCTTCAAATGTAAGAAAAGTAAGAGCATAAGAACCTTAATCTCTGTTATGAAAGCCTCTATCTCACTCAAAATTTAAACCAATTTCATGTGAATATATATGTGTGAATTTAATGTTCAATGAGTTTTTTTTTGTTTGTTTTTTTTTAAATAGGGCTTAAAATATGACTTTAACACACAGTCTTTATCATTTTTCATATAATTTGGCTCAGGTAGAGGATCATTTACAGATGGGGCATAAAGAGAACTGTTGAACATAAACATTCTTAACATGAAAGCATGATATCAGCACAGGTCCTACAGGTTCTTGGTATATTAGTTTACCAAAAAAGGGACAGCTCAATGGCTTAAAGCAATGATAGCCAACATTAAGCCATCTGGTTATTATGCTACCTTTGACCCAATTTTTTTTCTCTCTCTAAGACTCTGAAAAATCAAATATCCAAGCAATTATCTCAACATATGCTGCAAGGATTCTTATATTGTTACCTGCAATCCCAGCCGCACTCTCTTGGTGACGGCAGTCTCTGGGAAGATGGCCTCCACATGGGGAACCAGCTTACTGATGAGACGCCCGCCTTCTGGGCCGATAAGATCACTTTCCTGTTGAACGCGAGAGACAACAGCAAAGTAGAGGGGGAAGTCGGTAGAGATGATTCGACGTATTCTCTTCTTCTCCAATTCCTCTTGACTCTCTAAGTCTACAGTAAAGGTAAAAAAAAAAAAAGTCATAGGAAAGCAAAATTATTATTTTTTTATTTTACAATGGAAATCAAGATAAGTTAGGCGTCGAGGCAGCTACCTTATTAAAATTCCTTTCAATTTTACAAGAAACATGCAATATTGTTTGAAAGACAGCAGATAATATAAAGCTGACCTTCATCCATGCCATTCAAAATAGTTTCCAGCACTTCATCTCCATAGCGGTTGCGATGTTCCTTCCAGACTGAGCCGTTTTCACTTCGGAGGACCACTAGTTCTCTGTCTCCACGTGCCAATGAGGCAAAGTGGGGGATTTCAACAATAACAGGCCTGTAAAGGTAATAGTAACTTGTATGAAAAATCTAATTAGGTTAGATTAAGAGACAACAACAAGTCAGTGGAGCAAATGGAGCCAATTACATATCCTCCAGTTATGTTGTAATTTGTTGGTTTTTAAAGTTTCGTACAAGAATCTTCTGTAATGGACAAAAGCATCAAAGCTAGCATTACAGATTTTTGCTTGCTAGAAACAAGGATATTATTTAGGATATTTGCAAACACTATCCAAAACTGACTAATGGACCAGTCTTATTATTATGACAAGCATGCAGGCCCATATGCTAAAAACTGCATTATGTTGTATTGCATTTGTATTAGTAGCAACATTGACTTATTCGGACCATTAACTTCTTCTTCAGTAGCTATAAGGAATAGAGACAGAAGTCCCACTGCATTGTATTCTGGAATCACTGAGGACTTGCTGCAAGCTTTGCTAAAAATTAGTGTTAGAAAACTGAACAAGATGGTTGTTTTTACCTATGGCTACAGTAGCCCACATAGTGGAAATTGGCCTACTCTTCATTCCCCATCTGCCCATTATACTTTCACATACGTACATCAGAGCCTATGTGGACAGCTCTTATAAGATACTAACTTCTGTAGACCAGGAACACCACACACAATTTTCATTTATTATAGACATAATAACAATTTGTACTTTGAAAGCTGTCTGAAATCATTATGATCACTCATTTTTCCTGCATCTAACACATTACATGTAACCCACAAATGTGAACTTAATGTCTAACACTGTATGTCCTAACCATTTACAGAGGTGATGGATGGATGGATGGATGGATGGATGGATGGATGGATGGATGGATGGATGGATGGATGGATGGATGGATGGATCCACTTTTTAGGAAATGTAAATATTTTCTGGCCAGAAAATAGATTATGGTATTAAATCTGAAAATACAAATAATTATAAAAGTCCTTTCCTTTCTATAACCCCCCAACCTTGTAAAACAAAAATTCTTTGTGCTCCACATTTTTCCAAACTGCATTACAGTGCTGATCATACATTGACCCAATAAACTTCAACTCACCCCAGAAACTGCATACTGGATGGCCCCAGGGAAATGATCCGACTAGCCAGGCCCTCCCCCTCCACCAGCGGAGGAGGCGTTGTCAGTTTCTGTGGTTTAACAAGACGACAGGTGATGCGAGTCGGTGCGGCACAGGTTCGCGGAGGGATAATCACCCGCAAGCCGTGGTGTCTGCTTCCTCGCATGGAGCCTCCGCGTGCATCCACCATAAAACTCACCAGGAACCTGAGCATTAACAGTTACCAGCTCAGTTTCATATAGTATTACTGTCAGCTTCTTAATATACAGTTTAATGATTATTAGCAAAAAGCACAATAATTTATTTTTTGTTTTACCCAGTGTGAATGGGGCTGGCCACCGGGCTGACATTATCTGAGGTTTCAGTAGCTGGACTGCTCGGGATAAGCGAGTCCTCATCATACTCCTTTGGTAAAGGGATGGGCGTGTACTGGTTAAAAACAACAAAACAAAGTAGCCATAAATGGTGAAGATCAAGACTTAGAAGGAGACGAAAGAAAATAATCCTTAAAAATACTTTGGAATGTAAGAAATTCATCAGAAAGGATGAAAACAAACAGTTTATCTCTCTGAGAATGTTTCAAATGATAATTTTACTGAGGAAGAATGAGTGTAATGCATACCTGGTCAAGCTGCACTGTCTCTGGTGAGACACAGGGAATCCTGGGAATAGCAGGAGAGTATGGCCTGAGAGGAAGGAGATGAGAAAACAAATCTTGATTTTTTTTGTTGTTGTTGTTATATTGTAGCATAGTTATGGTATTACAACAAAATAATCAGATGCATTCAAATAATAGTGCTAAATAAATTGCGTAATCCGACTTACAAGGATTGATGAATGTTTGATAAACCATAGCACATAGAATATATCACAGTCTCATTAATTGTTTTTCAAAAAAATTAGGAAAAATTTGCAAATCTGATTTTATTTAAAGACAGAACAACCACTGTTCCTGAGATACCGAAGCTGTAACATGATCCTCATCTTCACAGCCAATAATATTAATAATCATACATTTTATTTGTTAGATATCTAATCAGGGGAGAACCAAATGGGTTTTAAAATGTGCCAACACACAAAACCAGAGAAAGATTTATATTCTGTTGCAGGGTGTTTATATGCATTGAGTTCGAAGGATTTTGATACTGTTTTTACTTTAATTTTTGTATTCTTCCAGCAAAAAAATGCTTTATTCATCATGATAGGAAAACTTGACAACTGCAGCCTTTTCAGGAAAAGGAGGATAACGGGCTACAAAAGCAAAAATATACTAAAATTAAGTAAAAACAGTTAAGTATAACACTAAGAAAACATGTTACCGAGAACATTTAGAGGTTATAGCTAATCAAATCTTTATTTCAGGTTTTTGAGAACCTGATGTGATGTCCCTCAAATATAATTTAGATAAATATATATAAATAAGGGTTTATTGTTGATCTCAAATGCGTAATACTACCTCATATAGGTGTTTGTAAGGCATATCAGTTAAGAGAAACTATTTGCTCATTAAATATATATTAGTAGCAGAACATCAGCAAAGTTAGAGGGCGGCAAAAATTCTGGTTTGCACACGTTTAAGCTGTACAAATAGCTTTGTGAATCTTCACCATTATACTTGTTTTTATAAATATATAACCTTTAAAAATGTATAAATCAACCTGCATGTGTTGTCAAAACGCTAGAAAACTGACTTACGTTGTACCCGTGCCACTGTCAAAATCTCTAAGAGTTTTCTTTGGAGAAAGAAAGTCATCATCCTGGTCTTTGAAGTCATCAAGTTTCAAATAGCGTGCTCCATCCATACCGAGCAGTTCATCTCCTGTGGATATCATAAAAAAGCAGAGGAAGGCTGAAAGCTAAAGGCCAAAGATCAACAGGTAAAAATGGGTTATAAATAGGTAAGAAATAGGAGAAAACTGGATTATAAAACACCACAGCACATGCATGGGTTGAGATGACGAGATCACCCATGCGATGCGTGACCACATCAACTCAAGTTCTATAAATTTCCTAAAGCAAAGGAAAATCTCATCTACATACACATCATAATGACTCATTTATAAAATATTTACAAACTTAGCTAAATAGAGCTAGTTAAACATTAACAATTTGGGTTTAATTACATTTATTACAAGGCAACGGTAAATTATTTAGTCCAAGCAATGAAGTCAAACCAACAACACTAACAGCAGATGGAAACCAAAAAAGTGGAACAAGAAGAGCGGTAAGACAGTGATTATTAAGACATTTCAATACACACTGCATGGACGGTCAACTGCAAGGCAACCTGGTGACAGCCAGTTTTTTGTGAGCATGCCTAATAAGAATAAAATAATGTGGTGATGGTTACTTCTGTGTGGGAGAAAACATTTCGGTTAATTAACAGAAATAATATTATAAGTAATTTGTATAAGTTTTACTACAAGCACTTAGACAGATGTTTACAGACGTCAGCCGGTACAGGCAGTTCAGCAAACACCAAAAACAATCAAGACCAAGAAGATTGAAAAATGATGAATATGAGGAACTGTCTGTGCTTATTTTGAACAGCAAATATGGTGGTATTGTTTTCAGGAGAGTCACAGCTGCTGAACAGCATGTGTTTAATCAGCTAATGGGTCAATTATACTGCAAAATTAGAGCAACTTTAGATGGGAAGGAAGCCATTTCTGAAAAATTAGAGGATTCTGTCCATACTAAAACCATTTAAACTTGGACTGGACACAGGTGAAAGCAACTAGACTGTGATACATGCTGATGAAAAGCAGATATATATACATATGGATATTTTTAAAATATATTTCTGAGGAAGCTGGAATAGAAACAAAGGACATATATACAATAGAGGTGATGAATATTAGGACGAGAAAACAGTGCTGGATTAAAAAGACAAAGAATAATTAGAAAGACATTTGTTGACACAGAAATAATGAAAGTAACTACAATGATAGCAGACAATTAATAGCCACTGGACCGCACAAGGCAGAGAAATAGATACAATCCTACCTAGAGTTAGCTGGCAAACTCCTACAAAACAAATACAAAGTAGGTTATAAACTTTAATCAAATAATAATTAATATCCAGAGAGGCACCTTTGATTCTACTCATGAGGTATCCTTCTAGCAAAATACAGAAGAGCTGAAAAAAAAACCACACAATAAAAGCAACAGTGCCCTCCACAAATATTGGATTATCTTCTGCCATCATATGATAATATCATAATATATAAATAAAAGTAATTTGGCTTTATTTGTAAAATGGGTAAAATGATATTAGAAATAAATAAAGTGAGGAAAATAAATATTTGAACACCCTGCTATTTTGGAATCCAACTTAGAAATCTTGGAGGGGCCTTAAATTATCATAGTAGGTGCATGTCCACTGTGAGAGACATAATCTAAAAAAAAACAAAATCCAGAAATCACAATCTATAATTTCTTAACTATGTATTTGTATGATCCAGCTGCAAATAAGCATTTGAACACCTGTCTATCAGCTTGAATTCTGACCCTCTAAAACCTGTCAGTCTGCCTTCAAAATGTCCACCTCCACTCCATTTATTATCCTAAACTAGATGCACTTGTTTGAGGTCGTTAGATGCATGAAGACACCTGTTCACCCCATACAGTCAGTAAAAATCCAACTACTAACATACTGTAGCTAAGACCAAACAAAGAGCTGTCCAAAGACACTAGAGACAAAATTGTACACCTCCTTAAGGCTGGAAAGCAGCATGGTGAAAAAAGGTCCATTGTTGGAGCAATCATTAGAAAATGGAAGAGGCTAAACATGACTGTCAATCTCCCTCAGACTGGGGCTCCATGCCAGATCTCACCTCGTGGTCTCAATGGTCCTAAGAAAGGTGAGAAATCAGCCCAGAACTAAACGGGAGGAGCTGGTCAATGACCTGAAAGAGCTGGGACCACCATTTCCGAGGTTACTGTTGGTAATACACTAAGGGCTGGATCTATCAGAGGTTTGCGTGTATAAAAATGTGAGCTATTTCACTGCGCACGCTAAAAAATGTACAAACTGATCTATCAACAGCGTGCTAAAAGGATTTGATCTTTAAAACGTGCTAAATAGCGCCTCTTATCCATTTAGTACTTTTTCTGCAATGAATATGCAATATGGGACGTTTACACGCAAAAGTGCGTCTTGTGGGAGGAGAACATGTAAATATATTAATTTAGCACTCGCAAAGTGATTTATCAAACCTGAAAGCAATTTTGCTAACGGTATCTGACTCTATATTTAACACGTTTCAAAAGAAGGTGCAAATGGTCTGTATGCGTAATTGCGCACACATGGCAGCGGTTATTGTCGCAAGAAGGAGACATCGAAATGAAGCAAGGAGACGCAGAGAACGCATTTTTTCACTCCGTGTGAATATTTTTGGAATGAACGAGGAAACGATCATCAAAACATATCGTTTATCCAGCATTGCCATTTTTGGGCTGTTGGAGGAACTCCGAATGGATTTGGAGCCAGGCACAAGGAGGACTCACGCAATACCCCGGATATCACAAAACTCCTTGCAACATTGCACTTTTTTGCATCTGGGATCTCCCAATCTCGTTTTTCAGAAGTGCTGTACAACGTTCTAAATGCCATGTGGCCCTGACGCCCTACCGGAGAACCCCGACCTCTGCGCCTGTGGAGCAACATGCCAATGCTGCGGGGACGAATACGCGCAATAATCTCATCCACAGTCACTTCTTGTGAGCCATTTGGTATGTGCATTTTTCTACAGGCCAATACAAAACACCTGTTTTTTTTTTTTTTTTTTTTTTACTGCAGTGAAGTAGAAATTCAGCCACATACCACCTTAGGGAATAAAGGTTGCCAAAGTTTATATATATATATAATTTTTTGGAGGGGATGGGGGTGTCACTGTAAGATTAAAATTTCTTAATGCACTAGTTTGCGCAAACTACAAACTACTTTGCCGCAAACCACAAAACGCGCAAAACCATCATTTAAATAGGGCGTCTCCAACAGTTTTGCACCTGCCACCAGTTACGCAATCGCTCTTGTTAAATCACCCGCAAACCATGGTTCAGCCCCTCGCACAAAATTCCAGTTTGCGAGCGCAAATTACTGCACACAAAATTGGATCTTGATAAATCCGGCCCTAAAACATCATGGTTTGAAATCATGCATGGCATGGAAGGCTCCCCTGCTTAAACCAGCACATATCAACGTATGACTTAAGTTTGCCAATGACCGTTTGGATGATCCAGAGGAGTCATGGTAGAAAGTCATGTGGTCACCCTAACCCTAACCCAAAATAGAACTTTTTGGTCATAATTCTTCTGCGTTTGGAGGAAGAAGAACGATAAGTACCATACAGTACCAAGAACACCATCCCTCAAGGTTCTGGCGTGGCCTAGCCAGTCTCCAGACCTAAACCCAATAGAGAATCTTTGGAGGGAGCTCAAACTCCGTAAAGTAACAATTCACTTTCCTTACTACATTTGGGCTGGCACTCAGCAACAGCCCAGAAACCTGATTGATCCTGAGAAGATCTTTGTGGAGGAGTGGGCCAAAATCCCTCCTGCAGTGTGTGCAAACCTGGTGAAAAACTAGAGGACAGGTTTTACCTACCTCTGTGATTGCACACAAAGACTACTGTACCAAATATTACCACAGATTTTCTCAAATATTTATTTGCAGCTGTATCATACAAATAAATAGTTTAAAAAAAAATTATTTTATTTTTCTAGATTATGTCTCTCAAAGTGGACATGCACAAATGATGACAATTTCAGACCCCTCCATGATTTCTAAGTGGGAGAACTTGTAAAATAGCAGTGTGTTCAAATTCTTATTTTCCTTACTATCTATCTATCTATCTATCTATCTATCTATCTATCTATCTATCTATCTATCTATCTATCTATCTATCTATCTATCTATCTATATATATATATATATATATATATATATATATATATATATATATATATATATATATACACACACACATTCATTTTAAACATAAAATCATTCAAGCCATAAAAATGCTTAACAGTTTCCCTTAACAGTTTCTGCAAAAAAAAAAAAAAAAAAACAACTACAGCATTTATATTTGACTGTTCTCCAAAATAAGAGAGGCAGGAGTACATTTTCCCTCCTTTATCCCCTACCATGACAAAGGTAAACATATGAAGTCACTTTTGGTACTTTAACGATCATATGTTTTCTTAAGATTAAATTATTAATCTTTTTTAGTGGAAAAAGACTTTGGTTTGTTCTGCTGCGAAATAAATGATTCATATGTAGGAAAGTACCTATCTTTAACCACTCTATTAAATTATAAAAGAGAGCTTGAACTTGAAATCAAGTACTAAAGAAACTAAAACAGCCTCTGAAGGGTTGAACACAGGTAATGTGGCTAACATAACTACCTTCATCTTCAGAGACATCCAATATTTCATCCACTGTCTCAGGAAAGCTCATCCGGTGCTTCTCTGTTGTCATCTGTGAAGAACCACAGGGAGGTAAGTAGTCGCATAAAGCAATTTGTTTTTGTTTTTAGACTGTCACTGTACACTGTATATAATCTGTTACTCACAGTGGAAACGGACTCCTCTGTAACCAGCTTTAGCACATCAATGACAGAAATATAACCCAGTCGCTTAGCAATGCCAAGGGGAGATGTACCGTTCTGCACAGAGAAATATAATCTATTTTTTTCTTTTTCAAATTGAAATGATTTATATTTAACTTGTATGCACATATTTTCCATCCATCCATCCATCCATCCATCAATCCATCCATCCATCCATCCATCCATCCATCCATCCATCCATCCATCCATCCATCCATCCATCCATCCATCCATCCATCCATCCATCCATCCATCCATCCATCCATCCATCTTAGGGCTGCAACTAATGATTAATTTGCAAATCGATTAATCTGTTGATAATACTTTGGAAGGATCAATCAATAATCGGATAGTGAAACATTCCATAAAGAAGATTTTTTTTTTTTTTACGAAATTAAACCAGGTGGAACAATGTTTCCTCTTGAAGGGTTCTGTATAGAGAATATTGACGGATTTATTTTTCTTAAATGCAAAATGTTTCAAATTTTTTTTAACAATTTTAATAGAATTACTGCTTCAACTGAGTTGCTTTCTCAGCTAAATGCATGTTTTAATATCTCAATGCTCCAGTTAACGATTTATCGATTACTAAATTTGTTGACGATTATTTAAATAATCAATTAATCATGGTTAAACCGATAAATTTTTTCATATATATATATATATATATGTATGGAGAGAGAGGGAGAGAGAGAGAGAGAGAGAGAGGTTTTGGATTTCTGTCACACAACCTGCATTTTAGTTCTTTTAATCCTGTAACCAAATTACAATGTTTTGACACAAAAAGAAATCATCAAGACATATTACCATGACTAAACTAATGTTGGCTTTGTTCTTATATTCTAAAAAAGTTGTCCTAGATCTTTCGGATTAAATCGCCTGTAATGGTGAGCTCATTTAAAAAAGAAAAGCTGATGTTTAGACTGTCAAGAATAGGTATCAGGTATGATTTTTAAAGCTATTTAAAGTAAAGATAAGCACACTAGTAACAAACGACATTGATCTGTGAATTTCCTACTGATGTGATTTCATTGGGGAGGGCTCCATGTTTTAGTAACAGGGTGACAATATCTGTGTGGCCCTGTTGAGCCGCCTGGTGCAGAGGGGTGTAGCCCGTCTGTAGGAATAAAAACAGAAGTTGCTAATTCAGAGAGGAGTAACGAAAAAAAAGCTCTCAGCTCATAATAAGGATATAGCTTACCCTTGTTTTGGCATTCACTTGAGCCTGCTGCTGCAGAAGAAACTTCACCATCTTTATGTTACCGTAGTGGCAGGCCACATGTATGGGAGTATATCCCATCTAAGGGGGAAAGACAGAGCTCTTTATAATAGCTCAATGCACAGTTATGACTTTACAGATTGTTGTAAGTCTAAAACATTTAAACATATCAGAATTCCTTAATAAAATATATACCGGTACCGGTATATAGATACCAGTATATATTTTTTAAGCAGCCTAAATAGATTCCTCAATGGAAACTTGTAGCAGTGCCATAAAAGCTTTTCATAGGTTTTCCATTTTAAATATTTACTTTTCTAAGTTTCTAATTTTCCATCACGGGCTGTGAAAAAAATAAAACCAAATAAGGTTTCTTCAATTTTAAATTGAAGAAACCTTATTGGTTTTTGAATTGAAAATGTATTTTGATATATGTAACACAGAAGGGTTTTCCAAGAATAGAATGTCTTAATGCTTTTCACCCAAGTTAAAGCCAATGTTAAAGGATTATCTGTGCACAAAGTATAATTCTATTGAATTAATATTGTCTAGTCACTGCAATAGATTATCAATTTAAATAAATCATTTTTATTATGTGTTATGAAAAGAAGAAGATTAATAAAAATCTTTTCCAGAACATAACAAATAAGAAGATTATTGACTTTTTTACTTTTTAAACCCTTTGTAACTTTCTTATGGCTGGTATAATTTTTTTCTAGCTCATCTAACTATGAACAATATGATGCCTTTCATTCATCTCAAATTCCTCTCCTCATTTCTGACCTCTGCATAGATAAAGAACCATGAAAGAATTATACTGTTTAAATGAGCTAATTACTCTACACTCTGATGTGGAAGTCAGTCTCTATATTCAGGTCATTTTAGCAGATCTAACTTATCCTGTTAATCCATGCACTTGTTTCATGGATGTGAATTTACCCGTGAAGCTGCATAGACTGACGCGCCCTGTTTGACCAAAGTGTCTGCGATGCCTACATGACCCTCCTGAGCTACAAGATGCAGGGGAGTCAGCCCATTCTGAAATGCAACAACAAAAAAGAACCAACACGCATTAAACAATTCAGTTTAGCCTGTTACCCTGAGCGATTTCTTTTGTATGCTTAACAGTGCAGTTAATTATGGCTCTCCAAGAACAATGCAAGACATTTAATGTCATTCCAATGTACCTTGTTTCCTAGGTTTACATTTGCTTGTTTGGAGATAAGCAGAGCCACCATATCAGGCCGCCCCTCCTGTGCGGCCAGGTGTAAGGGCGTGATGCCTTGGAGGGACTCTGCATTTGGGGATGCTCCATTTTGAAGCAGAACACTGGCCACCTCCATCTGGTTCTGCTTGGCAGCTATGTGCAGAGGAGTGTAACCGTTCTGGAGAGATAAACAATGGCACACATGCCAGCACAGGCTTTACTCTTTTGATTCAAGTCCAAAGGCAATTTACACATAAAAAAGATCATAAAAGTTGTTGTGAAGGAGCATTAGCAAGTATGAGGACAGGTGCAAGAGTTTCTCTAAAGTCAAAGGGCTTGTGCGAGAATGTACACATTCATCAGTAAACATCTTACTCGGGCAGTGCTGTGTGCAGATCCTCCCTTGCTGACCAGAAGCTTAACAACATCCAGGTTGTTGTGATGCACGGCCACATGAAGGGGTGTCAAACCATTCTGTCAACCACACATATATGTACACATGTAAACATATAAAAACCCAGAGACGTAAAAACACAAAAATCACACAGAAACGTATGTATGGGACACATACTATGGCAATAAGCTTGTAAAGCTACATTTTTTCCCCGAAAAGCTGAAATTCTTAGGTCTGATAATTCAAGTAGACAAGTAAAGCAACAACTCACTTTCCCTGCTGCATTTGGGTTTGCACCTCTTTCTAGAAGAAGTTCCGCTACATCCACTTTTCCATACTTAGAAGCTACATGTAGAGGAGTGAAACCTTTCTGCTCCACATAGGGAAACAAAACATGTGACATGTTTATTTCTGAATTTGACATTGCAACACGTGATACATTGATTTTATAACCTACTCTACCTTTGTCATCTTGACTTGTTGCGCTCCTGCATCCAATAATATCCGTATGGTGTGGATATGTCCCTCACGTGCAGCGATGTGTAAGGGCGTGTGACCAGCAGTCGTTGCTGAGTCAGGGTTAGCCTTGTGCTCCAGGAGCAGCTTGACCAATTCCTTGTGGCCCATACGAGCCGCACAGTGTAGTGGTGTCTGGTCATCCTGTAGGGGGGAGTAAAACGAATGCTGCAATGCTTGAACTTGAACTGAAGTTTTGCTGAGAAGCTTCAAAGCAAAACTTTATAAAAAAAAATGTGAAAGAAAGTTCATATGCTCGTACTTTTGCCTTTGCATCAACTTGTGCTGCATTCTGTAGAAGGAACTGAGCCACTTCACAGTGTCCTGCTCTGGAGGCCATATGGAGGGGTGTCTCCACTTTCTGAAGCATAAAAAACACAAAGATTATTTTATTAGAGCTCTGTAGAAGTACTCAGTTCATAAGATTAGACCTCAATAATTCATAATGGCAGCCAGCGTATGCTAGTCAGTTAAGAAAATTAAGATCTATTAATTAATTAAAATGGTTCCAACACAATATCCCTTTGAAATTTTCTGTTATTTATACGCTTTATATTTCAGATGTCTCATTTGAATGATTTTTCTTCAACTGTTCAAGATTTAGCCTCAATATGCCAAAAGTATCATCTGAAAAATATCAGCAGCAAATATGGCGAAAAAGGTTGACTGGCGTCTAAATAGTCAGTATCAGTGTTAATAAATGTCTACTGCCATGCATAACAAACAAAGTCTCTGTTCGAGTTTTTGCATATTTACTACAGCCCCCCAAATAAAAAAAAATATGACAGACAGAAAAATAGCTTTGCTTTACTGTAACAGTAGCTTGGTGATCTTATCATCCTTATACTGTATAACAAGCTTTTAAGTTCACTTAAAAGTGCTAATGGGTTTATTAAGTCATTGTTTTGAGAATAAATCTATTTTTTAAATTTTAATAATTTTATGTATGTAATCTCCAAAATATATCACCTTCCATCTACAAATAAAATGTCAGTGCTCTGTTTCGTCTTGATAAAATAATACAATATCGGCATCATTATCAGTTTCAGATAACAAGGAAGTTTCAATTTCTTTCTATTTCGTCATCTTATTGCATGAGAGGTCAAATTGTTTCAATATTGAGTTAACTAATTTCAAGCTGAAAACACCAATCATCAGAACAGGCTGTTCTGTTGCCATTTTTTTTTTTTTTTTTACCAAACTTGTCCTACAAGATGACACAGGATGACGGTGGACAAGATGTAAAAAGGTACTGCAAATACATAAATGGGCAGCAACTAAAAAAAAAGTACAACAAACTCAAAATTTTGACTGACAAACCCAAAAATGAAACAAACCAATACTAATAGTAGACTTAGACAAATAACACACGCAAAGGTCAAGCAAGGTTCTGTTTCAGCAACTGGACATGAAGTTTTCTAAAAGATGTTTAGCCTCTCATCCAAGAGGTTTCTTAAAGAACTGAAGACACCTCTTGGATGAGAGGCTGAACTGAACCTTTTAAGCTTGACCATGAGATGGATGACTGAGAATCTTTACAGATACATGCATAAGTAAAATGCTGAAAGTAGCAAGATTAGAAAAGGTTCAAACCAGCAAAGCGTTACATAAGCACTCTGGACTACTAGGGAGAGACCATCCTCATATAGGACAAACAGTAAAGATTTAAACAAGATGCTCAGAGAGATTTAGTGTAATTCATGTTTAGATGTAGTTTTCAGTACATTTATACATGTAGAAGGATTATGCACATTGCTGTTTTTATGTTCCACAAATGTATCATTTCTCTGCCAGCTGAGAAATTATGATGGTGAGCTGTTCAGGGTGATGGATGGATGGATGGATGGATGGATGGATGGATGGATGGATGGATGGATGGATGGATGGATGGATGGATGGATGGATGGGTGGATGGATGGATGGATGGATGGATGGATTGAATTTCTCTTTTCAAAGCATTTTGTCTTTTCCTGTGGTTTGTGTGCTGATGTCATCTCATCCCTGCTCATTTATGTATTTGACTGACAGTTTCAGTGCTCTGCTTTGAAATGATTAGTTGTAAACCAACGCCATACACCCTTTATATCTTTTCTAACCCATGGGCCAAGTTGTGTCAGTGTTGTGACAGTGTTCTGCTGAATGATGAAACCAACTGTAACATGAGAGCTGCTTATTTTTGCACCACAGTTACCCCTTTGGCTCAAATAAATAAATGATCTTGAAAAAAATAAATAATTGGATAGTTCACTCAACATAATCAAAAAATATAGTCAAAATAAATCACATCAGCTACATCAAATTTTATTTTTTATGCATGAAAATACTATTAAAGTCAAAACTACCAGAAACAATATCAAGAATATCTTACATGAAGGTTAAAGGTATCCATAAGTTGTGACACTAAGCATTAAATAAGTTTTAAACCTCTTAGTTTCTTACCACATTGGAAGCATTAGGTGAAGCCCCTCTTTGGAGCAGGTTCTTTACTATGTTTAGATGGCCCATGAATGCTGCTACATGGAGAGGGGTGAGACCAGACTGCAAACGTATAAACAAAGGGAAACAAAAGGTCATTCAAACACGAAGCATTTCAACAAGTATTATTCTTATTAATTAGTTTAAACAGTGTATTAGGAAACAAAATATAGACTAGATAGTGACAATTTCTTGCATGAATAATGCATTAGCTATACTCCTCCAGCTATTTCCTCACTAATGGAAATGTAGGTCTAAGGCAGAACTATAAACAGTGCAGTCGCCCACAAAAATATATGTAATACAATCTTCCAGTTTCTTAGCAGCAATTAGAGTAAAAAAAACTATAAATTAAAAATAATGGTATAAAAGCTACTGTACAGATAGCACTGCTATGATGCTACTTGAGCAGATTATCTCACCTCTGTGACAGCTTCCAAAGAAGCAGAGTGCTTTAACAGCAAGTCCATTGATCTCATGTGGTTCTTCTTGCAAGCGATATGAAGAGGTGTGAAGCCATTCTGCAGGCAAAGGAGAAAAGGTTCAAGACTTGTTTTGAACTATTGGAAATAAAAACTGCTTCATAAAGACAAATTAAACATCTAAAAACTTTGAGCAGGAAAAAAAAAAAACTTTCCTAGCCAAGTGCTGGTGAAAATTTTTTGTCATCCAGGTCATAGCCATTCCAAATAAAAAAAGTTAAAAAACAATCCACTGGACTCTCAATTCAAAATGAATTAAATTTTGAGTTGAAAAAGCTTCCTGGATGGGAAGCGAAACGTCTTCAAACTTGGAAACAAAGTCCAGTGGATCGTTTCTTTACTTTTTGGGGGAATTTTCTAGCCGAGTTAAGTGAAACTTTTACCATCCAAAGTAAACAAACTAGTAACTCACCAGAGCACGAGCGTTAGCTTTGGCTCCTTTGTCTAGTAGAACTTTGGCCATTCGATGGTGACCACAGTGGGCTGCTACATGAAGTGGGGTTAGATGGTCCAATGTGATATCATCAATCTCAGCATTGTATTGCAGTAGCTGCCTGACACAGTCCATGTGATCCCCCTGAGCTGCCATGTGAATTGGGGACAGACCATTCTATACAAGAAAGAAAGGAGTATAACCAGAAAACCATATTATATTTACCAAAATGGCTGAATAATGGTGTCCTAAATGTAGGACTACTAATTATAACAAAAACATTTCTTCTGAAGAAGAATTTAAAAATATTTTTTTTTTCCTGAAATTGTTTTACCTATCATCTCAAAATCATAAAACCTAAGGAAATATCCCTAAATAAGTTAGCAGTATATTCTGAATATTTTTATTAGTTTCTTTCAAAAAGCTCTTCAAGGTGTGATAAAGGCCCCTTTTTTTCAGTCTCTAAGCCTTTAGGGTGAGAGATTTAGATGCCTGACTTCCGCTCTAATGCTCCTAACCCACCAAGCCTATAGCCACAGCCCTTCGCCCACTAACTTGTATAATAGGAAGTCAGAGCTGAGGGTTGGGGAAGTGATATAGTGAGGTGTGACCTGCATAAACAAAACCCAGAACTTATTTTCCTGTCAAAAAGAGTAAGACTGTGAAATAAATCATTTAAATTCAAAGCATATGCTTGATACCAACGTATACACATTACCGTTATGAAATAAACATAGTGGAAAACTTCTGACTCAAAATATATACATAGTGCACTGCTGGCGCCATTACTGAAGGCTCACCGCTGTGCAGCACATCGCCATCTTGTGATTTATGAACGGCCAGAGGGAGTTCAAAGGCAGCTTGTCTTTGCAGGTTTGGAAAGAAACTGTTTTATGAACGAGGCTATTTATAAATCATTAGGCATTAGAGGCTTATAATCACTAACTGCTAATTTCATATTTACTCTTGAGTGAAAGATTTCTAATGTTTTTACTGTCTGATTGCTTCACTATTAAAAGCTTTATTTGCAGACAGGAGAGACAGTAACAATGACATTACCTTAGTTTTAGCCTGGATGGGAGCACCGTGTTCCAGGAGGATTTCAATAATGCGAACGTGACCATTCCGGGCTGCACAGTGAAGAGGAGTCAGCTCATCCTGTAAACAGTTGGTAGAAGTCCGAGATAAATAGAAAAGAGTAAAACAACAGTGTGAATCAGTATGAAAATATAGCACAACTATATATGGAACAGTTTCACACATCAATGAGCTCCTGCAAAAATTCAATTAGACTGCGGCTCAAATGTACTTTACCTTTGTTTTGGCATCGATCTGAGCTCCCCTGTCCAACAGTAATCTGACCATCATCACATTGCCCCTCCTGGAGGCTATATGGAGAGGTGTGATTCCATTCTGGAGAACAGATGAATCATATATTGTAGGTTGCTGCATGTTTTGTCACAGCCAGAAAGAAAGTCAGCAGAAAATAATAACTTCATATAAACTTTTCTACTGGAAATGTGGAAAAAGCCTGGCTTCATTTCTCTATTAAGGATAATCAGTTTACTAGACATGATTCCCTTTTCAGCAAATGTTAGTGTTTGACTGGATTCTGAAAAAGTGTTTTTTCCACTTCGTTGGTTTCAATACTTATGGTAAGTTTCGAACCTTAATAATGGTACAAAATAAGCTACAAGCATGCTTTGTGTTAGGGATCGCTGAAGAGTAAATGAGTCGTATAATCTGGTTAAACTGTATCTGTAAAGCGCCTTGAGATGATGTGTGGTGTGAATTGGTGCTATATAAATAAACTGAATTGAATTAAATGAAACCCAAACATAGTATTGTTAAGTAGAAATGGTGAGTAACAACAGTGAATTTGTGGTAAAACACTAACCCATATTTGATCAGATAGAAAATTACTTATTGTCAAGAAATAATATGTATTAAATAGTCCTGATTATTCATTGGAGCTGTCTTCTTAGCAATATGGGATTTTTGGCAAAGCATGGGATTAAAACCTAAGATATTATATCTTGCCAAAAGTTTGCATACCATCAAAAAGAACTTATGTGAGAAATGTAAAATGTTTACACATAAACATTTAAAATGTAAATAGTACATATAAAAGTTCCTTGAATGGTTTGGAAAATAATAAAATTATAATAATAAATAGTATTACAATACAATGAGATATCAATAATTATTTTTTTTTTATTTAGTAAGTAGTAAGGAACAGGTGGAGCCTCTGCTTTTATCATTTTTTTTCTACAACTTCTACACTCCAGGTAGAAAAATACAACGTGTACACACCGGGGACAAAGATTTTTAAATCTAAGATGATGAAAATGCATACTTTTTTTTTGGGATAAATTTTCATTCGATTGTTTGGACATTTTTCATAACAAAAACAATTTTGAAAAAAAAACTTGAAAAAAAAACAAACTACAATAAATCACTTAAGAAAAACATTATTATTGTATCTAAAATTAACAGCCTGCAGTTTCAAGATAAGGCTACTGTATTCCTAATTAATTTGATGTCAAATACATGACTTGTTTTTACAAAAATGTTTAAGATTAATCTTTTTTCATAAAACTACAGGTAAAAGTCAAAAAGTTAACATCAATTCAATTCAGTTTATTCATATAGCACCAAATTCACAACACATGTCATCTCAAGACACTTTACAGATCATACAGTCAAATTGATACAAAGTTTTCTATCTAAGGAAAACCAGTTGATTGCATTGACTCATTGACTCAAATGCAATCCCTCACACTAAGCATGCTTGTAGCGACAGTGGAGAAGAAAAACTCCCTTTTAACAGGAAGAAACCTCTAGCAGAACCAGGCTCAGTGTGAGCGGCCATCTGCCGAGACCGACTGGGGTTCAAGGAGACAGAAGCAGTGACACCAGTGTTTACATCATTGATGATTGTAAACAAAACAAAATTTGGCTTGCGCTGATAGCATATACTGTAAAGCAAAGATTATTGGAAAAAATAACATAACATGAACAATTTATGAAAAACATAATGCTATAGCAAACCAATATTTTCTTTTATAAATAGTAAAAATAAGTTTGACATAAGCTAAGATTTTCCATCAGAGATCATGCAATTGCAAGCTCAGATTTGCTTTAAGAATTAAAGCTACAGTGTGTAATAATTACAGGCATATAAATTCAGAAATTTAATATATTATACATAACTATGTTATTTATCATCACCTATGAGCTCAGCTTTTTAACCATAACATTTGCGTTGCCTTAGAATTCGTTATTTATAATTACATAGGAGCGGGTCTCGCAGCCATGGAGGCTGACATCTTTGCGCTACGGCAGCGCAGAGGCAACAAACTAGCGATTGCGAGATCTCCCATGACGCTCGAAAATAACTACGGCAAGTTGAGAGAGATGAACTGAGACGGTACTGAACAGTAGATGGCAGTATTATGCCTGAGAAGCGTTTAGTCTGCCTGAAACCAAAGAAGAAGAAGAAGCAGGTATACTGCGCCTCGGTAACAAGAAAGGTAAACAAGGCGGCAGGCGTGAGTGACTTTGCAAACTGTTTGGCACTGTGTGGCCAAACATCAGACGAATGGAGGATCATGCCTACTCTGTATCACAACGAAAAGCGGCGGACACCGAACCCCCGTCATCTAAGAAGCGGAAACACGACGAGAATAAACGCAAGAGTGACAAGAAACGACAAAAAACACGGATCAACATTGGCACGGCATTTACACGATGGAAGTCACTGATGGAGGAAAAAGGTTTTCAAAGTGACGCTCAAGTTGCCAGTTTTCTCTTGGACAGGTAATTAATCCTATACACACAATTGTCTAATATCACTGCAGTTTTTGGAGTACAGGATGTTCAGACCTGTCTAAAACAATAACATGCTGCGTGATGATGCTGTTACTCTCCAGTATACTTATTCAGCAACGTCCCTGACGTTTCACAGGTAATGATTCAGTAATTTTCTGTAAAATAATTTTCTGGATATATACCTCGGTTACTTCTCTCCGGCTCCTTTGGAGATCTTCAAGCCTTTCCTCCTCTGCTCTCACCCCGCTGGCTCCCCTCTCTCGCCTGGCCCCAGCTGCACGCTCACCCCGGCCTCTCTGCCCTCTTCCTTTCCCTCTTCCTTGCCTTGTAACCCCCGTGCCACAAACAAGACTTGGACTCTGTAAACGGGGAATATATATTCTTCCAGCGAACACAATCTCGCTGTTAAACTAATGACTACAATTACTTCGTCTGTTTATATCACCATGCAAAGCAGCTCACCAAAACGTCACAACGACGTAGAAAAAATAACGGGTATATTTATTATCTTAAGTCTACATGAAATCTATACCCTACACAGACTAATGAAATACTATCTGTAAAATTATCTATGTAAACAAACCTCATCACTTGAGAAGGTAGGTGATGCGGACGTCGTGGAAGACATTTTGTCCCGTAACGCTCGCCGTACTGTTGGGGGGGAGAAGCGGTGGGGGGGAGACGTTCATGTTGCTGCAGTCTGCAGTCTGACCGCTAGATGTCGCTGAAAATTACACACTGTAGCTTTAAAAAAATAATAATTTTTATGTTTGCTAACGAATGAATTGGAAGAAAGCTGAAAGTACTGTAAAATAAATATTTTTGTTATCTTGTTTTTATGTGTGAATACCTAATTATGTATCATTTCTGTGTTGGAACTGGTGGAAGGAAGAGAGTGTTTATTTATTTCAATCTACAGTTGAGTACAAGAGATGAGGGAAGTCTGGTGTATAATTATATATGAATGTTTGCTCAGACACCATTACTTTGTTGTTCCATGGCAGATACAGAAACAATAATGCTCCTGATGCATTGTTTAATACATCCAGCTGGAAAAACACTAACCTTTGGGGTGAAGTTTACATTTGCTCCTCTGTTCAGCAGCAGCTGAGCTACACTCATGTTTTCATAGTGAGCTGCAATATGCAGCGGGGTGAAGCCAGTCTGAACAGAAAAAGAAATTGAAATTAACATGATATCCATTACTTTCTCCATAATTTTTTTTTTTTGGTCCTTTAATTTTTGTGTATTTTCTTAACAAAGCAGACATCATCTGAGGGGTTCAAACCTTGCTAAGTACATCAGGGTTTGGGTCGTTTTGTAGAAGGACAGCAGCCGTGCGAGTGTCATCGTTCCGTGCAGCTATGTGAAGGGCCGGGAGGCGGACCTTCCCTTTTGTGCCATAATTGATGAGCAGCGCCACAACGTTTTCATGGCCCTGCTGAAGGGCCACTGCTAGAGGTGTAAAGCCATCCTAAGTGATGGGAAACAAAACGGAGGAGAAGAGGTAAAGAAAAAACAAAGAAAAGATAGATGATTGAGGTCTTAACATCTTCTACTGCGATGCTATTAAAATCTAAAAAAAGAAGATGAGTAAACAATGTAGTTCACCCAGTAAAATGGGGTGAACTACATTGTTTTTTATATCACTGGTCTTTGACCCATCAGGTTGTAAAAGAGAAGCATTTGAGCTTTCATATGAGTCGTTCATCATAATTCTTTCATAATGTGCTAAAATATTGTATAAGAATTAACTTATTGTTGGATAATTACTTTTAAAACAAGGACCAAAACAAATATGAAAAATTGTAATGCAAGGCAAAACCATTCCAGAATGTGGACAGAAGAAAAATATACATTTTGCACGTTATCTCTTAGAGGTGCTTTCTGTTTTTCTTTCTCACTGAAAGGAATCCTGACTCAGAGCTTCTGTGGTTGGCACTATCTCTCTCTGGTAAAAGTAAAACATCAATTCATGGAGTGTTTGTTATAATTAACTCGAAGCGTTCTCTTTAGATGCCTGTAAAAATACAATATTCTTGGTTGGATGTTTCTGTGTCTGTTTTCAATATAAAGAAACTGATTGAGCTGATGATGCCATTACATTTTTTGCAAAGGCAATGAATAAATGTTATGTGTTTCTTAAACAGTTTTTATTGTTGAAGAAAATTTGACTTTACTGCAGTATAATCTAAACAAATACATCTGTGTGAATTGTTTCTAAATAAAATATTGGATCTAAACAGATTTTGGGCTTGATTGAACATAGATATAAATTGGAGCTGCTGTGTCTTCAGAGGAAGGGGGGGGGGAGTCCTTCATGTAAATAATCAATCTATTTAGATTTGCATCAGTTTGTCATGGTAACTATTTTGTTTATTTAAAAAAAAACTACAGCATTTTTTGTACTTTATCCGCAGCTAATACATTTTTTACCACATCTTTAAAAGTTCTGCTAATTTTAATGGGCTACTAATGTATAAATCTGTGGTTGATCTGTTAAAATGCACGAGACAAATGTAAACACTAGCTAAAAGCTACTAACTGTCTATTAGGGGTCAAAACCCTTTCAGTGAGTCATGGGGCAAAAAAGCGGAAAACCGCAAGCTACATTTCAGAGGCCTCCTGAAGTAAACCCAAAAGTTGCATGGAGGGTCAAGAAAGAAATCATCAAAAAATATCATTAAATTAATAAATGTGAATATCCAATGAAATAAATAAATATATCCTTAATATCTTATTAAAATTTACATCTATTATTTATGTATTTGATATATTATTACATCATTCAATGTACCCTTTAAATTATAAATTACATGATCAAATAATATCCCATGAAACAATTGAATAAGCTGTTACTTCATCCATCCATCCATTTGCTGACACGCTTACAGTACTCCCAGCTGTCTACAGGCGAGAGGCGGGGTAAACCCTGGACAGGTCACCAGTCCATCACAGGGCAACAGAGAGATAAACAGGACAAATAACCATTCACGCACACACTCACACCTAAGGGGACCTTAGAGAAGCCAATTGACCTAACATTAATGTTTTTGGACAGTGGGAGGAAGCCGGAGTACCCGGAGAGAACCCACGCATGCTCAGGGAGAACATTCCCAGAATTACTCTATATCTATAAATTGAAAAAAAAAATAATAATTTAATAAAAAATAGATAAACTGTAATGGTAGAAATAGCATTATCATATTTTGGATTAGCTTAACATTAGTAAGAAGATTATTATTTTTTTTTTCATAGAACACAAAAACATGTAATAATGTCTTAACTTTCTGCTTCAAATTTGACCACAAATTAATAGTACTGTGAGAATCAGATACAATCATACCTCAGTTGGGAGACTCTGATTTGCACCATTTTCAAGCAGAAACTTGACCACTTCTAAATGGTTCTCCTGTGCAGCCATGTAGAGCGGACTGAAGCCTTTCTGTTTAGGAAATTAAAACACCTCGTAATAAACACAGAGACTTGCAGATTGCTCTCTATGTTAATCAAGATAGTTAGAATAAACATTTTAGTGACACATTTGGCACAGCAATTATACACATAAAGGCAGGAAATATTATTTAAATATCCAAACAAGAATTAACTTAGTACATTTGTGTCCAATTAAGAAAAAAAGAAAGAAAAAAAAAGAAAGATGCCTATACACAAGCTACTATTTTTAGAGTCTCAGCTTCAGGAGACTCACATGTGACTGGGCATTAACGTTGGCACCATAGTTGACGAGCTCAGCCACCACTTTCTCCTGCCCTGCCAGAGCCGCGATATGGAGAGCAGTGTTCCCTTTCTAGAGGTCACACACAAAGAGAAAAAAAAAACATGGCAGGTCAGAAAAAGAAAATGAGAGAGAATGAGGAGACAATTATGGCAGCCCAATGGCCTAGATATCCACATTCAACGCTATAACACCAGCTTATGAAACAGGTGTAATTAAATTTACATTTTTGCCTTCAACATTACTGTGATCTCTGGGGAGGCCCTAAATACCATTATCTAAAGCTACATAATATAATATAAATATATATATACACATTATATATACACACATTATATATACACATATATATATATATATATATATATATATATATATATATATATATATATATATATATATATATATATATATATATATATATATATATATATATATATATATATATATATATATATAGTATATTTTTAAATCACTGAAACACATTTGTTTTAATATTGTTTTTTTTAAGGAAAAACTGAAAAAAGGAGAAAATATGAAAGAAAGAGGAGATAAAAGGGAGATAACGATAAAACATCTTCAGTCTGGATCATCACCTGCAAAGAGATGTAAAAAGAAAAACACAACCAACAGATATGGTACAAGATATACAATAAAGTAACACCTAGATATTATCGCTGAAGTATAAGTAGTATTATTTAATCTGGCATGTATTATGTGTTACCTGAACATAAGAATATGGGCTTTCTGTATGGAAGTGAATCTCTAAGTACCTGGAACCAGGTATATATATTGTTAACCTCTTACACCCTAAGGGGGTATAAATAAATTTCTGCCTGACAAAAACACACAAAAGTAAATAACTTATAGCCTCACAGCTATTAGATTTAAGAAGAAACTTTTGGTACGTCTGTAAAGGTAAGATGTCATAGAATGGTTTTCTGGTGTCAGCACCATTGTAGCTTTGACCCTGCCTGAACTATTAGGGACAAAATACAAAATATTTTGCATTTTTTGAACCTCGCCAAAATTTTCTTTGAAATAAATATTGCAAAACACTACCAAAATATTATTTATAGCACAAAAAAGTAGTACAGACTTTTAAATCTAAATGTTGTGTAAAAATATACCAAATTTGGTATGAATCATATTTATTTTAGAATGGTATTAGTGAGAAATTTCTTAGGCGGAGGGGCCATTTTGGCACATTTATCCATAAATGTCACCAAACTGTGCCAAATGTGTTTTTTACATCAATACTGGGGGTTTGTTAAAATTACGAGGTCACGTAGCAGCTGGACCCACCGGTGGGTCCATAGGGTTCTAGGGGTTAAGAAGACAGTAGGATAAATAACCAGCATCCAGGGGCATCATCCAGTTCTGTTGATCAGATTTAGTCTTAAAGCCTTAGTCATGAAAAGAGGTAGAGTTACCTTCGTTGTCGCTTCCAGCTCAATTCCAGCGTGTAGCAGCTCCAAAACCATTTTGACATGACCCTCTTTAGAGGCCAGGTGTAACCCGTTAAGACCATTCTTTGGAGAAAACAGAGACAAAAGTTACAAGAGAAAGAAGTCATAAAAAAATTTAAAATTATCTGAGTTAATCCAAGGAAAAAGGCATAAAGTGATTTCCAGTATGCTTTTACTATTTGCTGTTTTACCCACAGCTCTTGGCTAGACATTTTTAATCTTCCTATCGTTTTATGTGCTTGGCAGCATCCTGAATTATTAATGCAAAGGCTGAAGCCTGCTTGCTGTAACCGATCTGTCCACAAGGGGTCATTGTGACCCACACTGTTCTCAAGCTTTTCATTGTACTGCAGTGTCACTACAGTGGGAAGCTCCCTGTGTAAAACCTGCACTCAGTAATGGGAATCAAGCTGTGTTTATGAGGTGAGAACTGTTCATATAAACGGGTGAAAAGCTTTACCTTTCATACACACTACTAGAAAGCTTTCATATACACTATTAAAAAGCTCTCATATACACTACTAGAACGCTCTCATATACACTACTAGAACGCTCTCATATACACTATTAGAAAGCTCTCATATACACTACTAGAAAGCTATCATATACACTATTAGAACGCTCTCATATACACTATTAGAAAGCTCTCATATACACTATTAGAACGCTCTCATATACACTATTAGAACGCTCTCATATACACTATCAGAAAGCTCTCATATACACTACTAGAATGCTCTCATATACACTATTAGAACGCTCTCATATACACTATTAGAAAGCTCTCATATACACTACTAGAAAGCTCTCATATACACTGCTAGAACGCTCTCATATACACTACTAGAAGGCTCTCATACACGCTACTAGAAAGCTCTCATACACACTACTGAAAAGCTATTAGCGGATTTCAGTTGAAACGGAAGGTGTTTCAGTGAAACAGGAAGGACCGTCATTATCCCGGAAGTTGTTTTAAACGGAGGTCATTCTGGCTAGCTCCGTACATTTTGTGCTATCTCCGGCCGAAATTGTATCAAATGAAATTATTGATTAATGCTCAGCTATCCGCTAAACAACTCACAGAAGCATGGGCATTACTCGACTTTATTTTTTATGTTTTTGCTTCAACAGAGATCCTTTTCCGGTGTTGTGCGAAATTCTGTTCCCATGTGAAAATCTGTTCCACCTGTGTCGGGAGCGCGCCGCGCATTGCAGCCACATAAGCGGATCTGATCATTTCCCAGGCCTTTCGGATCATTTCTTGGTTAAATAAAAAGTCGTAAAATTATACAAGGTTGAGACATTTAGTTTAATCAGCCGCTGTTGTTTACAAAATTGTAAAATAAAAAAAATAAATGCGGTTTTCTTATGCTGTTTTGTGTTGTTATTTTAAACGCCAAGAGAATCAGTCTCTTTCCAAGTTTTTTCACTTCAGCCTGACAGAAATAAAAGTCAAGTCACCAAATACCAAATTTGTATTTATAATTTTTTATTACTGATATAAGATGATGGGAAGTGCCTGATAGCAGTTCCATAATATGGAAACAAATTAATTTAGCTGCAAATCTTAAACTGTGTTTATTCCTCTCTTCATCAACAACAAACCATCTGGATTCGGTGATATTTGAGCAATGTTTGCCTAAATTAAAGGAGGGGGACCATATATTTTTTGGATTTCTAATAGTGTGTATGAAAGCTTTCCAGTAGTGTGTTTGAGAGCTTTCTAGTAGTGTGTATGAGAGCGTTCTAGTAGTGTATATGAGAGCCTTCTAGTAGTGTATATGAGAGCTTTCTAATAGTGTATATGAGAGCTTTCTAGTAGTGTATATGAGAGCTTTCTAATAGTGTATATGAGAGCATTCTAATAGTGTATATGAGAGCGTTCTAATAGTGTATATGAGAGCGTTCTAATAGTGTATATGAGAGCTTTCTAATAGTGTATATGAGAGCGTTCTAATAGTGTATATGAGAGCGTTCTAATAGTGTATATGAGAGCATTCTAGTAGTGTATATGAGAGCTTTCTAATAGTGTATATGAGAGCGTTCTAATAGTGTATATGAGAGCTTTCTAGTAGTGTATATGAGAGCTTTCTAATAGTGTATATGAAAGCGTTCTAATAGTGTATATGAGAGCTTTCTAATAGTGTATATGAGAGCGTTCTAGTAGTGTATATGAGAGCTTTTTAATAGTGTATATGAAAGCTTTCTAGTAGTGTGTATGAAAGGTAAAGCTTTTCACCAGTTTATATGAACAGTTCTCACTACTTTGTATGAGAGCTTTTGAGTAGATTATATAAGAGGTAAATGTTTTCACTAGTTTATGTGAGAGCTTTTTACTAGTGTTTGTGTGAGGTTTTCAGTATATTATATGGAAGAGTGTAATTTAATATGTGTATATGCAAGTTAATTCTGATTTATGTCCCTGGGGGCACCTCATATGTGTTTCCCTCACAGTTACACCCTCTATTATCCCACCTTCACACCAGAGGTTTGAGAAGTAAGTGTGGAGCCATATGTGTGACATTTCTACTAAAACCAAACTTAACATTTTACCATTCAAAACATCTAAATATACACACCTGTTAGTCTGAACCTTTCTACAGCAGCAAAACCTGCTGTATTTTAGAAAACATAATATAGGAATTTTTAAAGCGCAGGATAAATATCCTCCAAGTTGTTAGAATGGTTGTTATTTCCCAACAATGTTAGATAAATAATCATAAAGACTATAAATGTTTCAGTTACAAGAGCTGCAGAGGATAAACTATATCCTTCGTTAAAGTTCTGGTACAGTAGCTTTTGTGGACTGAAAAAAAATTTACTCTGCAGTTACAAATAGTGGCACCAAGTGAGAAAAATCTGGCAATAATATCTAAAATATTATATATATCTTGATGTCTGATATGTCCAGAATAGGGCAGCTATATAACAGAAACAGACAAACACAACTACGCTGCTGCTGCTTCCATAGGATATAGAAGCTGCAAAACTATTAAAGAAAGATTTCTTGGATTTTTTTTATTTACTACTCTGCAGCAAAGAAGTGTTATTTCAGTTGTTAAGGAGGCAACATCAGCTTCAAATTTGGAGCAGAAATATTTTCTACCCTACAGCCCAAGAAGGGTTTGAGTAAAGGACCTTTTCCAATGTCCATCATTCTATAGATAGATTGGGTTTTTACAAGAGGAAAACAGGCATTATTTTTTCCAGGAGTAAAATCATCCAGTTCACCTCATACTTACTGTACACAGCCCAAATAGAAAAGCTTTGAACTGACATGGATTTTTTTTTTTTTAAATCTACATCCAGGGTCAAAGTGAAGTCAGTTAGATACCCTAACAAATTGTAGAGAAGACTGAGGCACAAGGACAGAGAGAGAAAAGATGAGTCCTAAAAATAGACCACAGGTTTGTGGATATACAAGAACACAGAACCACATTAATTTCAAATAAAAATACAACATCTTCCCTTTTCCACACACAGCAGGAGAGAATAAAAATGAATACACTATATATATATATATATATATATATATATATATATATATATATATATATATATATATTATTTGAATAGGATTAGGGTTGTGGAGAATGTATATAGAGAGAGTTTCTTTAATATACTTTTTATACATTCCCTATAATGAAATGAAAACAAATTACAGACATTACATCATAAAAAAATGAATGAAAGTGTATTAGCATGTCAGTTAAAGAGACGACAGGAAGAAAAACAAATCAACATGGATTATTTTTATATCCTGTAATTGTTATTTGGCAGTCATTCTATGTTTGCCAGAGATTTTATGGCGCAGATATGTGCATCTTAATTGTATTTGGATGAAAGCTAAGTATTTCCTTCTGCATTTAGACCTGCTGCTACAGCTCAAAAAAGATATGGCACTCAGTCATTATCCTTTTTACATTTCAACACAGAAAAACCTTGATAGCAAGATATAGAAGTTCAGTCTGACTTAGGTCTCATCAATAATATTTCAACAACATTTTGGACAAACAGTTATTTTGACTATGAGCTTGAAATCCAGGAGGTATAAGTAAGTAAGTAAACTTTATTTGTATAGCACTTTTCACAGACGAAGTCACAAAGTACTTCATATGGTAACATAAAAAGAACTCAAGTAAAAACAGATAAAATGCAATAAAAGCTAAAATAAGTAAGTGAATAAAACAATAAGCTATGTGCTTTGGAAGGCTAGTGAAAACAGGTGTGTTTTTAGCTGCTTTTTAAAGATATCCACCGAGTCCAGAGAGCGCAGGGACAGGGGGAGTTCATTCCAGAGACGAGGTGCCACCGCTTTAAAGGACCAGTCTCCTAGGGTTTTAAAACGGGTCCGAGGACCCATAAGCAGGTTTTGACCTGAAGACTTTAGGCTACGGACCGAAGTATACGGCTGGATCAGACCTGTCATGTAGCCAGGCGCCTGTCCATGAAGGGCCCTGAAGTTAAGGACCAGGTGTAATACATATTTTAGTAGTTAATTATCTTAATTTATAAAGATTTAAAAGAATAAAAGGTGAAACAAAACATTTATGGACCCATAATCTTATATATCAATTATTCATGCATTTTAGACAGAGAATAAGGAGTTTCTGGGAAACATGAATCTTTAATAGTCTTTCAAGGCTCTGATTTTATTCAATTTTTCCAATTCTGCAAGGCGAAGTTCCAGTAAAATGTACAGTCTGATCTGCATGAGTTGGAAAACGTCTTTACTTAGATCACGCAATGCTCTTAAATATATGTAACAGATTAGTTGACTGAGGATTATTTGATATTTTATTCATAACTAATTAAAGCGGTGGATAAGCTGAATCAGCCCTTGTGCCTCTCCTGCCTCTCCTACAATAGCATGTGTCATTTGAAATAGATTTGATTTTAAAGGGTTTTATTGTTTTTTATGAGGAGGAATGTTTTGCAATAGAATCCATTATGTATATAGTTGGAAGGCTGTGTGGGGATGTACGTGTAAGTGTAAGTGTAGAGCCTTTCATGGGTGCATTAGTGTTAGTGGGTCGACTTTAACTTTGTTGTGCTGTTGGTTTTAATGTGCATTGACCATAACCCAAATTCTACTTTACATAAAAAAAATACCTTTAGCAGTCCTTAAACATGAACCTCCTGGATGTTATTATAATCTTAATTAAAAAAATTTTTCTTTCTCTATTTATTAAAATGTGCCTGTTGCTAAGAAAATTCTACCAGCATCAATCACTGTTGATTCTGTTAAGAACAACATTTTATGAAATACTTCACAAAACATGACTAAAGTTAATAAATGAATAATGGGAAAAGAAAAGCCTTTGTTTGATGCAAAATGTTTGTTTTCAGTGTCATAATTTCCCCCCCACCTGCAAAACAGGTGAAAAGCTAAAAATGCTTTATAACATACAGAATACAAATCATATGGACTGGACAGCTAGGCTGGCTAGGATTGTTAATCAGCAACCTGAGGCAGAGTGTAGTAAATCACAACTGGACTGGATATAAAAATGAGTTCAAAGCAACAAGAGCAGGCCAAGGAGAAGACAAGAAAGCAATATAAAACCACAAGGAAAACAAAATATTAAGTTAAACTTAGATGACAGATTAACTCCTACAGAATGATTGGAAGTATAAGGATGGTTTTCTGCATAACTACTATACTTGAAAATTACTATGAAGGAAAACCTGCTTATCTAAATTTTCAAAAGATTGTTCTTCTAAAAAAATACACTGTTCATTGCTCAGACCGAAAAATATCAAGAATGATGTAAAGAAGTTGCTGAGTTCTTTTTATTTATCTTCTTTAGCTAAATTAGAACCAATATTTTTATCATCCTAGGCTGGCTTCAAAATGTACGATTTAGAAACCTAACAGATCGAACCCATGAACCAACGGAATAAAATATGGTCCTCAAACAAGTGAAGGATCTTAAAGAAGATCTTAAAGGAAGTTTTTCCTTTGCTTTCCACCCCAATTTTAGATATGCCTAATCTATATCTAGTACAGAGACATGTACCTCAGGTTTTTAAGGTAGCTTTAAATCAACCTGTACTAAAGAAACCCTGCCTTGATCAAGATGACTTGATGAATTCTAGACCTATATCTGACCTTTTATTCTTATCTAAAAATCTCAAGACAGCTCTTACTAATTAAGAGTGAACATTTACATCACAGTGTTCTTTGTGAAGAGTTTCATTCAGGTTTAACAGCTGATCTCGGCACTGAAACAGAACTGGTGAAAGTCACTAATGATATGATCGCTGCCTCAAAAAATGGATTAGTCTGTTGCTCTGTTAGATTTCAGCGCTGCTTTTTATAAAGTAAATCTTAATATTATCCTAGAAGACTGGAATCTAGGGATCTAGTGAACTGTGCTGGGATGGATTAAATCTTGTCCGTCCAACAGATTCCTGTTTGTAGAAGAAATTAATAATCTTGAAACCTGGAGTAAACCTGTGGAGTACCACAGGGTTAAGTGTTCGGGCCAAAATTAAATGATACACTTAAAAATATATTTTTTAAATTACATTACACAGTTCTTTAGAACCTCTGTCTCAGAGTTGTCAACATGAACAATAAAGTCCCCCTACAAGAATTAAATACTCATCTTAAACAGATATCATGGATAAAAGTTAATTGTTAATTGGAATCATTAGTTGTTTTGGACTGAAGAGGCCTGCAAACATTCAGAAAACAGGCTTGAACAGGGCTCTGCACTGGCAAGATATTCAAAAGATTTTTAATCCAACCAGGAACACTTTTATTTAACATTTGTTAATCATTACCATACAAACTGACGTGATTTAGTATACATACCAAATTATGTAGGTCCATTCACACTGAGACTGATTCTGTTTTCCTTCCTGCTGCCACTATATAGCGTGAGTTTTGTATGGTGTCCAAACTTCCTCCCTAACCCCTAAATCCCTCAATTACCATATAGAGCTGCGACTAGTGAACTTTATAGTGAACTCAGCCAACTGACAGTTCAAACAGATGATTATTTCTTTTCCATCTTTGTTATTTGTTGCGACAGCAGGCCGCTGTAACAAAAAAAATCCCATAATGCTTTGCGAGAAGAGGTCTCCGCTCAAAGCATTCTGAGATATATCTGCTCATCTAGTGACCACGGATGATCACTACTTTTCAAGGTGCATTGTGGGAAATCTTGAGTCCACTACTTTCTCATCTACTAGAGGTTCGTACACTCATCTAAAATGTCGTAATCACAATGATGATCACTACTTTTCAAGGTGCATCGTGGGAAATTTCGAGTCCACTACTTTCTCATCCACTAGACTTTCGCACACTCATCTAAAATGGTGTGATCACTATATAGTGCCTCATATAGTGATTAGGGCGGACATTCAGACACAGCTAGCGACCGTCTACTACCTACATGCTCGTCCAGGAGGAGATAATTTAAGTCAATGGCTTGATGCAGTCTGCTAGGTTTGCGTATAATAGTACCATACAGTTGGACTATCTGTCTGTATGATTTGTATGTACTGACTGTAATCTTCAATGAGATAATATTTTATGTAAATTAGCACTATATAAATAAAATAGTTTGATTTATTTCTTATTTATAGACCTGAAAATTACTGAAGGTAATTACATTTCTTTTTTCAAACTTTGCGGTAGTCTATGTTTTAGATTTATCTTCCAATTCATGGAGTATGTTTAAAATTATTTAAAGTATGATTTGAGTGTTTTTTTAAAGAGCTCATACCACAGCCTTGTTATGCCCACATCTAGTATTTGAAAAAGACACTTAAAGGGGATGGTGCCTGGTGGACCTCATTCACTGGGAAAGTGAAGCAGTTAAGGGCTGGATGTGGTCTGTTAAAGTACATAAATTATATATATAAAAAAGCATATTTACGTAGCTAATACATAGTTAATCCGGAAATTTACATAAAGATTGCAACCTCAAAGTTCTGACTCCAGCGTGCTACTGGTGCATTTACAGTGTGAGACAGAGCCAGTTTCATAGGTTTTGAGCCAGTAGCAGTACTGGTTGAAAATTCAAATGCATTACCCTTGGTAAACATGAGGGAGGGGTACATATAGATTTAGACAAAAATGCTATATTTCAAACAAATGTGCCATAAATTGTGAAGATAATGTTCAGGACAAGAAGACAACTCTATACATTTCACTGTATTTTAAAGAAAAAATAAATTGGGGGTCAATTGTTCCTTCAAGTTGTTAGTAAGTAAGATGTACGTGCATAATGAGCATGTGTTCGTAAATGTTTTACCATCACCCTTTTTGGGATTTATCGCATAACATTATCCTTAACAAGGGTGCAAAAGACTCCTGATACAAGATGTTGCTCTGGAGAACAACAAGTAAGACGATCAAGTACAACCAGAAAAAACTTTTACCTTCTCCCTCTGGACAAGAACTTAGAAAGTGTGAACATGTCGACCCTGATCTGGTTTAATCTTAGCATGTGAATAATTAATTAATCAAGAAACAAACCAGTCCTGCCTTAATATGCTGCTTATACATGCTGTGTTTTATTAATGTTTCTCAACTCTTCATAGATTACATCAGTTTCAGTCATTTTTTGACTTTGTCATTAGATTGGCTTGTCAAGATTACAGTAGTTGGTTCTTTCTGCAGAGAATCTAAAGTTAACAATCTCAAGTTTTATACAGAGGTGATTAAAAAACAATATTTTAATGTGAAAAAAACAAAACTAACTTATTCTACTTAAATCAGTATTTAACTGCAATACTAATAAACGTTTTATGAGTTATAGGCATGCATTTTTTTTTTAGGTCCCTGTAAAAAGTAATTAAGTCTTTTAATCCATTGTAACATGTAATCTGCTGGCCTGTTTAATGTAAACTCATTCCCACTGATGCTGAGATCTTTTCACAGGTGTATCCAAATTAGCATAAGAAATCTTACCTGATTAGCAGTGTTGATGTTAATCCCGTTCTTGATGTGATCCAGGGCCTTATCCAGGTTCCCCGAACGAGCAGCACGCAGGAAGCTGGTGGCAGCATCCGCCTACCACAGAAAGAGGGAATGGAGGAAAGGTAAGATGATTTAGAAACTTATTGCGAAAAACAAGTTATCCAAATCCGAGGTTAAAAACTTCTAATTTTGTATCACATTTTTCATTTAAAGTCACAAAGATTACAAAAAAAACTTATATTATGACAGTACTATGACAGTAAATCTACTGCATCTCTTTTCCTTTTGTAAAAAGCATAAAAACGTCCGACTTCTTACAGCCCACTTGTGCCCACACTATGAATTTGGCAGCGTGCTCTGCTCTCAGTCAGGAAAAACCCCTGTGGTTTGTCTCTTGGTCTGTGTCAGTGTTTGTACGCCCACTTCTAAATTTATTCATTGACAACTACCGTACTATGGCTGACCTGAACAATGAGATATTTTCAGTGCCCTGAAGAAGAGATAACTCATGCCTGCATTGTACTCTTGACCCCGCCTCCACCTTCGTCACCAGCTAAATTATAAATCTGCTGAAGCTTTTATTCCCGAATGGTTTAATTATACTGAACTGCTAAAAAAACCACATGCCCTTTCAGAAGATGAGACATTAGATTTTTTTCTCTCCTCACATGTCTTATTCATCTCAGATGTGAGTTACTGCTGACGCATTAAAGAGTTGTATTCAGTTTACATTTACTAAATATTCTCTTAGTTTTTCTACATAAATAAACAAACACAAGCATACTGTCAATTTAAGGTCAAGTTGGGAATGATTAAAATAAAACAAGTGAATGGTTTCTTGTTTGCATTTATAGTGCTTTAAATACATTCTTACATTTTGAGCAGTTTTTTCTCTAGTTCTAAACTAAAACTTATCGTATTTAATTGGGATTTTCAACAATTGCATAAATATACATGGTCAGGAACATTATGAATGGTTTTAAGAATGTTTTGTAAATAACATTTTGGAAAATTCTGTCTATATTATTATCTAATATTTCATTTTTTTATTTAACTGACTATATGTTAGTGATATAAAGCTGTAATTCCTAAAGGGTTTGTCTCTTTGAGCTTTTAACTGGTCGTAGCTTAACTTTTAGTTAAGTCTATGCTTTGAATAGGTCGTTCTAACATGTTAATGTGCAGTGATCTAAAGCATTCATACTTTTATGTTAAGGGTTGTTAGAAACTTTAAAGGTGAATTCTGTGTCACAGTCTTAAAACAAAAGACTTTAACCATCATATTTTGTTTTAATAACTTTATGGACTACTTAATATGATTAAATATTTGCTTACTGAGCTTTTAAAAATATTCCTTGCTAATATTCATGACAAAAACAATTTTGTTAGAAGTTCAAAGAAATCCTATAAATTATTTCACACCCCTAATATATATATATATATATATATATTATCATGTTTGATACTACACCTAAATGCTACAGCACATTTAAAAGGATATATATACATTTTTTAAAGTACACAAAATGCCATATTTTTAAGGCCAAAAAACACATCTAATTTCATCTGTAACTCCTTTGATGTTTATCTATCATACTGCTTTTTCTCTTTGTGACATTTACTTTCCTGTCCACAGTTTCCACCTGTGTCTCTCCTTCTCAGCCTCCTCGCTCCTGTATTGACTCTAAATAATAGCTTTAAGAGCTAATTTCCTCTCTGCATTTGATTGATAGAACTTTACATGTGTTAATCAATCTTTGTTTGTGTTGCTGACAGATATCTAGCCCCACCCAGTAAAAGATCAAAAGAGTGAGATTTGGTCTTGATGTTGTTCACAGGCTTGGGTATATCTCCCATCCTCTGTTCTACCATTTTCTGCTGCTCCATTTTCCTTCCCTTTCTATTCTCTTTCACTCCCCTTTTTGCTCTTTTAACTATATTTGCAATCAACCTGTCAGCTGCATCAGATAATTTAGTTACCTGAACCCCTCCCTTTGCACTAACATCATTAATGTCCTCTTTCACTCAAATTTTCCAGTAACTGAATAAAACGTGTTTTTACTGATGCTTTTGTCTGTTTTCTCATATTCTCTATGTTCATATCAAAACCTTTCCTATGAATCACTTTCTTAGCAGGTCAGAGTATGAACATTTTTTCAATCAAAATTGCAACACATGCAAGATGCAGTTTCACCACCTTGTAACAACAGCACTCAATAATGTCCCCCCTGCATGGGTTACAAATAATGTAACTGGACATTTAGATTAAGATAAGACAATGTACATAAGGCAATATTTCCCTGCAGCGTTTTTGAAGAAAATACTAAACAGATAAATCCTAAAATGTGCATAGCTAAAGTGTAGCACTTCTTAACCTTCCTCTTGTGTTAGTTTTCTGCTGCCATCTGTAGTGTTAGCGGGTCATTTTGGACCCGAGTATTAAATCAGCCATAAAATACCCTAAAAACAATCTTTCATCATCCAATGTTTTTCTTAACGCTTGTTTAGCTGATTGGGCTCCCTTATCTATTAAAAGATTGGTTTTAATATTTTTTGTGGCCCCCTGGGCCTTTGTTTTAGCAGCATACCCCTCGTTTTCAATGTCTAAAAAGTGGTCAAATTAACCTTAAGAGAAGAAGGCAACAAAATAATCAGTTGTTCTGTTACCTGAGTGCAACTGAGAGATATTAAAACACATTTCATAAATGTTCAACAAAAAAAAAAGATTTTAATTTTAATATTATCAAATATAGTAACATCTATGGTGTTTCGGGTCATTTTGGACCCGTATATATTTACTTCAAAAAAAGGGCAAAAACAAGTCTTTTTTTCCCACACAATAGAACTTGAATACAATATTTATATTTGTGTATATTTACACTTTTGGTGTGTTCTTTGCAGATATATTTGTTGCAGGTGAAGCACACTATGTAGGTTTTTCTGTCCATATTGCTAGGGCAGACCTGACACCTCTTTCTTTTTGAGCGAGGTGGTCTCACTGGCATTGTGGCTGTGGATGGAGTGCTTGAGGCAGGGCTGGCATCAGAGGGGGAAGGTGATGCTGATGCTCTTCTTGTTGCTGTGGATGTGGATGGCATGTTTGGTGACCACTGCAGCTGTCTGACCAAGTCTGCAGTAGCTGGGTCTCGGGGCACCCGTTCCCATTGCTCAATGTGCGGCTTGACAAGGGAATTCACGAGCTCCTCAAGAAACATTCTCCACTTAGTGTTTTGGGTTGAATTCCACCCTTGGTGAATATGGGTCCACAACACAAATGCATTGTATGCAGACACTATTGAGGATGTTGTAAAACACAACCATTGGCCATCTCCTGGTCATTCGCTGGCAATTGTAGGTGGCAGTCAGCTTGTCCAGATTGTCCACTCCTCCTGTCCTTCACCAGCCACATTTCAGCGGGCAGCTCAGGTTTATTTTTTTTTATGGTGCCCACCATGGTGAGTTTCCTCCTGAGAAGTTCTTGTCCAAGGTCATAGCATGTAAAAAAATTGTCACAAGTGATGTTGTGACCCTGCAGTCCAGTAGTCAAATCGAGGACTACCCGTTTTCCTTGGTTTTTACAGGGATGCCGCTTGCAGATTTTCCTGTGTAAATCTGTAGGTTCCACTCATAGCTTGTTTTAGCATCACAGGCTGCCCAGATTTTTATGCCATATTTGCCTGGCTTACTGTGCATGTATTGCTGGAACGGGCATTTTCCTCAAAAAGGGAGAAAACGTTCATCCACTGTCACCTCTGGCCCTGGGTTGAACATCAGTGGAAGGAGTTGCACCCATCTCTCCCAAACATCCCTGATGGGAGCAAGCTTGTCAGATTTTGCTCTGGTGTATCGATTGTCAAATCTGAGGACTCTTGAGATCATCTGAAACGTCCAAAGAGACATTGTTGCCGGTTCTCAGAGGCCTGCTCATCTCCATCGCTAAAATCCTGTGTGTCCTCTGCCTCATTTGCAGCAAAGATGTGATCCAAAGCTTTATTTACAGTGAATCTTCTCCTTATTGTTGCATCCTGTGAATTGGCGATGTGTACTCCTCAAGTCACCACCTCTACACTCAAATGGCTTGACAAGCCTGGACATGTCTCCCTTTGTTTGTTTTCGCAAAAAGGCAAAGACAAAAAGGCCCTAAATTAAGCTCAAGTGGTTGGAGGAAGAGCCTGTTGGTTGATTGTGTGTTCATGATTACATTTTAGGCATTTTTTTTATTGTTTTATAATCAAAAATTGTAACCGGGTCACAAATGACCCGAACACCACAAAAGTCATTTTTTTCACCAGAGCACTTTATAATTTAGTAAAAAAATAAAATTTGATTTTACTTTGTTAAAATGGAAGTCCTTGACAAAGTCAAAAAGTTTCAATGCAAAAAACAAATGTATGATGTACTTTTATGCATGCTAAAACTCAAAACGGGTCCGTAGGGACCCTAACACCATAGGAAGGTTAAAGTACTAAGGACTACATGCTATAGAATATCAGAAGACTAAATGTGTCTACTGGAGCTGTTGTCAGTAATCAATAAAAAAAACAATACAAAGGACTATCTGTTTTTAATACTGCGTAGATAGAAGGTGGAAAAAAAGTAAAACAAACTCCACAAAACACTAACCATACACAGAAACAAATAAATATAAATACAATATATAAATACAATATACATATATTTACATTGTTTAAGGTTGCAAAAGCAAAAGACAGTCACTAAATTGTACTCACACACTCTTTTACAGTTTATCTGCATTTAAATCCGAAAATACCATGGTTAACTTTACATGTTTAGCTTTTAAATGAATATAACTAAACTAGACAGAAGGTAAATATCTACATAAATGATGGAAAATTTTACTGTTGGAGAAGGTGAATTGGTTTCCTTTAGACAGAAAAAGAGGTGCAGCTCAGAATACTTGCATCTTCCCATAATAAATAAAAGCATAACACTGAATAAGCATAAAATGCTGGTTCCAATTGCTAATTACAACCGTTGTGGTACTTAGTGCCATCTACTGTACAGGAGTGACCTGGTCCTTTGACATGTCCGTCATCTGGAGGTGTCACTTTATGTCGGTTCTCATTTCTCCT